CCCCCCCCGTTGTGTAGCCCTTCAAAAGAAATTAAAAAAAAAATGACCCAATTAGCAAGCACATGTACACACCTAGTGAACTAAAGCCCAGATTTTAGCCCTTAACCATGCCATTGGTCCCAATGGAGTGGCATGGATAATGCCACCACCATTATCTCCAAAAAATCCAACTCTGAAATAGATCAGCTTGCAGGAAAACAGCCAACAGAGTTGAGCTTAATAGCTCCATGCTTAGGAGAAGATCACTCTTCCATCACAATCTAGGACGAGATTACCTAGACACAGCATACAATCTACTAGACACCTTATTGGCAGAGAAGCCAAGAAATTGTGTTCTTAGGAGCCACATTGATAGTTATCAAATATTCAAATTATCTAAAATGTCTGATTTTTTGGAGAAACTCTACCATTTCTCTACATTCAAATAACCCACATTATGACAAAAAAAAACAGATACACACAATCTTTTATTTTCAAATCTGAACTGAGGACCACTCCCTTACCAAGGAGGACAACTGAGAGAGAGAGAGAGGGAGGGAGGGAGGGAGCGGAAGTAGATAGGAAAACAGAAAACAAATCAAAATAATACTAATTCCAGAGAGGAGTGAATAGGGAAAACAATTCCCAATGTTGGTCCCAGCTATCTGGGGACTGGAGTGCAATGTTACCGGTCAGTGAGATTTGGTTAAGTTTTTCTTTTCTTTGATAAGTAAATGGAAAAAAATTATTAAAAGAAAAAAAGAAACTGAATACAACTCAGAGCAGGTGTTAAGATAACACCCCCCAGACCACACAACTATGACCAACCAACAAGAACAACAAAAACAGAGAAAGCAAGAGAAACACATCATTTCTGCAAGAACCACGCCAAAGAAGCGATTTACCTACAAAGCCACAGGTCAAAAACCGTGCCAAAGAAGAGATTTGGTTAAGTATTGTGGATTCGTTAGGGAGCAATACAATACTTCCCCATCTCTACATGGTGAAATGTATGTTGATATTGAAATTGCAAACCATGCGAGGGTGTTGAGAGGCATTAGGCCAGCTACTGACCTAACCTTTGGCCTTTATTATATCACAAAGCCAATAGAAGAATTGCATGAGAGAGAGAGAATTGGCAAAGTATGCTTTTCATACTTTTGCTATTGGCTTGCTACAGTTGAGGTTCCTTGTGGTCTTGCACTCATGCCTTTGTAAAAGCTTGAATTGTCCTTATTGTAATCTTCTATTCATAAAAATATGGTTGTTATCAATCCTTAGAAGCAATGGTCGAAACTATTCTGGTAAGAGTGGAGCATTGGGCTAAGACTTTATGTTATTCTCCACTGTATCATGTGATGGCATTCATAGGAATTGGCTACCACCGACATTTCAGAAAATTAAGATGAACTTCAAAGGCTGCAGCATCAGGAATCCAGGACCCTCATGAACAGGAGTAATCAGAGGGGCAGATTGATCAATAATGGCTTTGTTCACAGGTTGGTTTTGGTGACTCAACAAGGGCAGAGAAGCTAACAGTTTTACAAGGACTGAAACTAGGGAAAGAACTAAGCCACAGTGGGATAATTGAGGAAGAAGAGTCAAGGTTGTTGTGGGATGGATAAAAAACAATCCACAAGAACATGGAAGTGCAGATACATTTTAAGGGATCAAATTACTTGTACAGGAATTGATTTTTACTGTCCAATGTATTCCTAGATCTTATAACAGTATGGCTGAGGCTTCACAAGGAAAGAGGTAAATAGAAATTAATTATTTTAGGGAGAGGCTTCAGAAGGGATTTGATGCAAGAGATTTGGGTGGATTGTATGTAATGGCCTACTTTTCTCCTTTGTAAATTTGTATACTGTGTTTTTATATTCATAAAGTTTTGATTGTTACCAACCAAGAAAAAAAATCAATCCAAAAAGAGATGTTGTTAACATGAAATGTAAGTGAAGTTGAAGGAGGTGCAAGTGAGACATGCACCTAGAGAACGATTTTTTGATGCCTCAATTTATACATTAGAATTAGGAAGGATATATAGTCTACAAGATTCTCACTCCAGTGATTAAGCCATAGAAAGAAACTTACTCCTCACTCAAGCAATTTACATAAGAATAGCCAATACAACAAAGTCGATGTTTAAAAAAAAAATAATGTTTTCCTACACAAAATATTGTAAAGACATCTAGATAAAGAAGTAATGAGAATATTTCAAACCAAAGTTTCCTAGTGAAACTTAAGAATTACAGGAGGCTGACTAGGTCCTTGACAAGCTCCTGATGTATGGTGCAAAGTTCTTAATTCACTTCATTTCAGAGAAGAAATTTCAACATTTTTGGGGCTTTTGTTCTGATTGAAAACAAAAAATGTGCACAATACTAACAAAGAGTGCAAGAAATAAGGTTTAATAAAAATGTGCACCATACTAAAATGCAAAATCAGTATAGTGGGTGTTCAAAAACTTAATAAATTATTCAACTATTCTGCATACTTCTCTATAAAAAAAATAAATTTATAATGAAATTTTTCTGATCAGGACAAATATGAAAACTCAATAGATGGAACATGGAACCACCTTTTTTGATGGAAGATGACACCATTAATTTTTTGATAAATAATGACAACCCCACTTGTTATGCTCCATAGATGAATCCTATGACCAGTATAGAGGATCCTCTGGATTGGCCACCGTCCTCTTTCACTATCCACATTATCTATATGCCATGCTTCTTTTTCTGATTGGTAACTGGTCAGAATTTTATTGCAAATATGAAAAAGTTGACAAGCTTAACCGAAATCCATTAGCAAGTAAATAGTATTTACAGCAAATCCTATAACATTGACTCTATTACAGTTGTCTGCCTTCCAAGACAGATCCCCAAATATAAAACTCTCCTATCAGCAATATTGCGTGTATGAAGGGGATGGGTGTTTTATGTAGCAAAAAAACTCCTGATTGATGAGTGAAGAATAAAAAGTACAGCCCAGAGCATGAGGCTCCCGCCAATGCGGCAGTATGGGGAGGCACAGATACACACAGCCTTAACCTTGCACATACAGAGCTGCTTCCAAGATTTAAACCCTGGTCATCCAGGTGACAATGGAGCAACCCAACCATTGCACCAAGGCCCACTCTCACCATGCTCCATCCAGGACATATCCCTAAATAAACTTGTCATTATAAGCAAATGAGCTATGACAGTAATAAGATGAATCAACATACTAGGTCTATATAAATTATATGGACAGTTACTTCTTGCCTTTTAGTCAGCATATACACATTAGTCATCATGGTTACTTAAAATGCATTTAATAGCAAGGATCTCTACTTAGATCAGAATAGTTGCATGAATAACTATGAGAAAGCACTGAAGGAAAAGAGAAATACAAGCATGATTATTTAGCTCAGTAACATCCATATTTTGAAAAGGGAGCTCAAGTGTTACACACAAGAGAGGAAATGGCACAGTTCTGGAATAAAAATCCTTACCTCATCAGGTCCGGCTGTAAAAAAGTAGATGAGATTAATAGCTGAGAATCCTATCTTTATGATTTTTGGAAGGGCACTGGAACAAAATTGGATTCCATCAATTTCAGATGCTTATACATTATGATGATGCATGAAAAATTTATCATAATATAAACTTATTGCATTTTCTTCTTACAAGTTACAACATGAATCTTGCAAATTAATCATTTAATGCCACTATGAGTTGATAAGAGGGGCCATAACTTAGTCTAATGGTAAAATCTCCATCTGACAAGGATGAGGACATGGGTTCAAGTCTGAGAGTGGCCACTTTGTGCCAAAACTAAATAAATAAGAAAAGAAAGAAAAAGAAATACCAAAGGGTAAGCCTGTATCCAGTGCACCCATCCCATTACCCCAGATAGCTGGTACCAACATTGGGACGTGGGCTTTTGTACGAGTTGACAAGATATGGCAAGAACAGAAGTGGACAAGGATTTATGTTGACTTTACACTAAAAATTGACTGCAAATATGCAATAAAAAGAATGATATAAAACATTTAGTTTACAATCTTTTTTAATAAAAACAACAAAAGAGGAAGGTTGGATACATTAAGATCAAGACAGCCAACAAAGTTCAAAAGTCTGAAATCCTATCTGAATTTTTTTCGATTTGGATGCTCCTTTTACTTAGGCAAATCAAATTTGGAAAGAACCATTTGATCTGATTAAGATCCCAGATCCAAGACAGATTAAATTTCAAATAATATATTTTTATACACAAATACATAGGTATATCTACTGATATAAAATTTATAATTAATAAATTCATAGATTTATATCTATATAAATTTATTACCTTTGTCAAAATTGACTTCTAGGTTTGGCATCCTTTTCAAAGAGATTTATCACCATATTCAAATTCCTAACCCATCCAATCTCATCTCCTTCACAAAATAGAATGGTGCCATCTGCAAACTGTATGTGTGATTTTAACTCTATCCCCTCCTACTCACCAACATCCCAGAATCTGCATTCTGCCCTCTCCAAAGGCATGCCCAACATTTCTACAACCAAAGTAAAGAGGAAAGGAAATAAGGGGTCTCCTTGCCTAATTCCTCTAGAAGTAGGGAAATGATCCACCACATAGGGGTGTAAACGGTATCCGATTATCCGATTCCAAATTCAATTCCCGACATAATTGAATCAAATTCGAATGGTTCGATAAATTTAATGATTGAATATCTTACTGATTAGTTTATAACCCCTCCCTCCCTCCTCCTCCTCCACCTCCTCCTCTCTCTCTCTCCTTTCCCCTCCCTCTCTTTTAATTTCATTCTTCTTGCTTTTTCCTCTTCTCTTCCTCTCTGCCTCTGTCTTTTCTATTTTCAAGCTATGAGCACTGAGCAACCACCATTCAGGATCAATATCCTCTACAGCTTTTCAAGAATAACAAGTGATGTGTCCATACTTTGAAGAATAGCAAATGATCCATCTTAGCACCTTTGTTCACTCTGTTTTAGGTTTTTTTAGTTTACTCTATTTTCTTCTATTTTCTTTTTGTTCAATGTCTTGTYGTTGACACTTCTCTTGTTCAATGTTTCGTTGCAGATGCCGCATATCATTTATTAGTTTTATTTTTAAAAGACAGGCTCTTCTTCCCCTTTTCTCAATGCATCTAGCTTTGTTAGGGTTTACAAGGAAAGTGAAAGTAATTGGCCGAATTCGAATCGAATCTAATATTCGATATTTTAATCGATTTTGAATTAGGTTTTTGGTTTTATATATCCAACAGATATTTAATTGAATCCGAATCACCTTCTTTGTAATCGAATTCGAATTCGAATTGGAATATAAGCTGATTCAAATCAAATTCGCTCCGTTGACAGGCCTACCACCATAGTGTTGTTCAACAAAATAGAAAAATGACAAGTCCTTACAAAATCCTCCACCCATTTACATCACCTCACCCCAAAACTGAAATTCACTAAAACTTCTAGCAAAAAAGACCAATCAACCATATCATAAGCCTTTTCCAAACCTAACTTGCATATCATCCCTTTTCTTCCGCTTCTCTTTAAGTCTTCAACATTTTCATTTGCTACAAGGATTTGATCAATGATTTGTCTCTCACTCTATCTTTGGCAAAGGCGCCTTGATTTGAGAAAACAATGGTGGGAAGCACTTCGCTCAGCCTTCTAAACAACACCTTTGCAATGATTTTCTATGGGCTATTTACCAAATGAATCGGTCTAAAGGGTGACATGTGTCACCCCACTTAAAGTGGCTAGAGGAGGGAAAACAGCCCTCTTGTTATGATAGGACAAGTGGCATCTTTCAGCCACTTTCTTTCCTAAAATTATTTCAGCCCACCAATAGGAAAGGGCTTAGAAGATCAACCTGGAAAGAAAGCCCCTATTCTTTTTTAAGTTGTGATTGGGAGTACTTTAATAACCCGTTCTCAGTCTAGCAAAAATTAAGGACTTGACACAACCACAACGAAAATATTGTATGAATGTATTGCTTCTTGATAGGTCTTTGGTCTTCAAGGACATCATGAATGTCAAGAGGATGGACTTTGTAAGGCAATGAAATGATTAATGGGATTTACTTTTTCTAATTTGTAAGGTATTGTCCACTTCCATACATACTAATATTTGTTAATGAACAAAGATTTGTGTTATTCATTTAAAGCAAAGTAGTAGAGAAACAAACATATGTTCAAATGGAAAAAACCAAAAAGAATCTAAATATGCATGCAACCATACATAAGACCACAATATCCATTAAACAAATAACAATATAAATAAAAAAAGAAAAGAAAATAAAGTTCACCAATTAAAATTATCATGAGTATATAATCTATCAAAAAAAATATCACGAGCATATATGTACATCATTTGACTCAAAAATATGATATAGAATGACAAACAAATACTAAGCTAGTTGCAACATTTACTTCCAATGATACAGATCCTATTTTCATGGTGAAACCCTGAAATTGTCTTTCAACCAGTCATTATGTCCTGATTGGTAAGAGAGTAGATAATGTGGATATTTAAACTGACCTCTGGACTTTGTTCTCTGCACAATACTTTGCAGCTTCATCCTCTGGCATATCTGTAAGATTCTTCTCTAAAACAGCACTGAAAGGGATAATTGTCTCACCCCCATGCTCTTGCACCCTAAGAGATAAAAAAAAAAAAAGAAAAAAAAGATATCTTTAACAGAAGAGAATTCAAGATAATACTGTAATAGCAAAATAAGAAAAACAGGAACAGGTTAAAACACTGCATTTATATTGCAGAATTAAGGCAAGGCACCAAAGGGGAAAATACAGTACAAAGCATATGAATAGTAAGTGGTTGGAAGAAGGTTGTTCTCCCCTATTTGACTATTCATATTAATTCTTGTAGGTATTGACTTGTTCTTTATGTTGAGTTTCAGTGTCATACAATCAAGGATACCATGTTAACAAGCACGAAGGAAATAAAAAAAAAAATGATGAAACAAGATCTACAACCGAGAAAGAAAGAAAACCTATTTAAGTGCATCTATACAAAACTTTCTATGGAAACAAGCATTAATTCAGTATCACTTCTTAATTGGATCCTCCCTTCTGGCTAATGAACCAGCAGTCAAAACTCCTTAGGAATATATCTCAAGAACAGGAGGATGAACACATGTTGCTTACTGATAAAGCAATCTGATGTAGGGTGTTAATGAAAGAATGGCTTCTGATAAAGAACCCTGTGGTTGTTGTGGACTATAATTATATTGCAGAATTAAGGCAAGGCACCAAAGGGGAAAGTACAATACATAGCATATGAATAGCAAGTGGTTGGAAGAAGGTTGTTCTCCCCTATTTGACTATTCATATTAATTCTTGTAGGTGTTGACTTTTCTTTATGTTGTGTTTCAGTGTCATACAATCAAGGATACCATGTTAACAAGCATGAAGGAAATAAAAAAAAAATGATGAAACAAGATCTACAACCGAGAAAGAAAGAAAACCTGTTCAAGTGCATCTATACAAAACTTCTTAATTGGATCCTCCCCTCTAGCTAATGAACAAGCAGTCAAACTCCTTGGTAATATATCTCAAAAACAGAAGGATGAACACATATTGCTTACTGCTATAACCATTGGATTCAATTACATGATGAAGCAATCTGATTTAGGGTGTTAATGAATGAATGGCTTCTGATAAAGAACACTATGGTTGTTGTGGATTATAATAGCTTCTTGAAGGAATAAGAAAGAAGAGAGAAAAAGAAAAGCATAGGATTCATTCCTAGGGTTCCTAGAATTACTATAGGGGATGGGAATGATTCACCGTAGGTAGCATAAGCTGTAGGAAATCAAATAAACTTCATTGATCCTTCTTATGTAAAATGTCCATAAATATTTATAGACTGTAGATGACTCAACCCAAAGAAGACTATTAAAAGCTCAGAAATTACTTATGTAATGACTCTGAAACCTTAAACATAAACCAAGTATAACTAGATATGGACTGGACCCAACAGACACATGTTAAAATGACCAAAATACCCCTGCTGTCCAGAAATGCAGAAATACATAAAATTCAGAAAATTCCAATGTTGACTCTTTGTCTCCTGCATCACAATCCTTACAATCTAATGTGCGACATAACTTCATTAAAAAAAGGAAAAAGGAAGAATGACAAGCAAAGCCTAACCATTCAACAAAATAACGCAAAGGCATAGAATTCTGACACCAGACAGCAGTTTTTTTTAATGAGTCTGACTCCAGACAGCAGTTAAGGTAATAACATTTCCTCATCGACACGCATATACAATCTAAAACTCTATAGTCCTATTCGATATTGTATGACTTTATTTAATAATAACAAAGAATGTTATGCTGCACAAGTAGAAATTATAAAAGCTTGATGCCCCTGCTACCAACCCCTTGTGCCCTTTTAACTGTAAAACTTTGTTTTCCTATTTAATAAAATTTCTTTTCATTTACTATCAAAGAATAGTCCCAAATTTAGGGAAAAAGTTCAAAAGACCAAAGAAGTTGCCTTGGAAGGGTCACCAACCAAACATAAAGGCAAAAACCCTCAGCCCAAGAAGAAGATTAATACCCCAAGCAAACCAAGAAGTAGGGCTGTCAGTTGATAGGATTTGAATTGACTCAAGAAAAAAAAATTTGATAAATAACAGAAACTTTTATTAATAAAGAGATTAAAAAGGAGGATACAACAGGGAGGGGTAAAACCTCTTAACCCTCCCAAAAGTTTACTTCAGATTACAAAGTTGCCCAGAAAAGAATAGCTCTTCCCACCCCTCGCTTAGCCAAAGAATCTGCCAAGGAATTGCCACACCTTTTAGTCCACTGAAACTGAACTTCCATGTTTTGAATCAAATGTTTAATTCTCTTTTTCTCATTTAGGTATTTCCACAAACTGAAGTCTTCCTTCTGCAACCACCTAATAACCAGGCTCGAATCACCTTCCACCACCAGTTTTCTGATATTCAGCTGTCATGCTCTTTTGATCCCTTCCAAGACTGCCAGTATTTCAGCCCTCAGAGAATCCCCCATCCAATAGGCCCCGAATACATTCCAATAATTTGACCTTCTTCATCCCTGAAAGCTCCACCTATATACCTGAAGGACCTGGGTTTCCTCCACTACTTCCATCAAAGTTCAACTTAGTGTTGTAGCCCAAGGGTGGAGGAACCCAAACTGGAGAAGGGGCAGTTCTCAAGGGGGCTGACCAAGCCACTTCCAACCAGTTCTTAATGATATCTCCTGCTGTGTAATCTTCAAAGAGCTTCAAGGTCTTAACCCAATGAGCCACCCTAATGGACACTACTTCAATGATAGCTTCTTTATTTCTTTCTTTCTCAAGGAATATTCTTTGATTTCTTTCCTCCCACACTGTCCAACATATTGCTGCTCTTACACATCTCCACAGAAATTTACCTCTCTTTTTTAACCCTCTCACTAACGAAATGTTAAACAAGCTTTGCACACTTGGAGGAGAGGACCACCTGCAACCGAAGAGAGAAAAAAACCAGCACCAGATTTCTGATACAAAAGGACAGGAAACCATTAAGTGATAGCGGCTCTCACCATTCTCCTTACATAGGATACACCAGTGCGGGGACAAACACCAATTTGGCCTTTTCCTTTGAAGTACGTCGCAAGAATTACACTTTTCCAAGAATGCTTCCCAGCAGAAAGCACCCACTCTGGGAGGAATTGGTCTACCCCAAATTTCAAAGACTGGGAAAGGGTGTCTGAAAGCCAGTTGAGACTGGGTTAATTCTTTGAAAAAGGAAGAGCAAGTAAATACACCCGAGGAGGAAGGAACCCAAATCCTATTATCCCTTCTAGAGGGATCAATAACCACCTCATCTAGGATCTTAAGCAAATCAGAAATGGTGTTCAACTCAGAGTCTCTAAGAGCCCTTCTAAAACCCAAGTTCCAAATAGGAGCAGGCAAAGTAGGGGATAGAAAGGTGGAAACAGGCTCATTTTTAAAACTCGATAGGGAGAACAAAGCTGGAAATTGCTCTTTCAGAGGTGAGTTCCCTACCCAAGTGTGTTCCCAAAATTTCACAAAACTACCAGAACAAACGTCATACCTGATGAGTGGAAGGAATGAAGGTAAAATAGCATGGATGGACTTCCAAGGGGAAGCTCTTGTAGCCCTAGATGAGACTCCCGCATCCCAGCCGTCCACTGCTTGCCCATGGATACTTAGAATTACTTGAGCCCACATATTATCCCTCTCATTTGTCAATCTCCATAGCCATTTCCCCAATAAAGCTTCATTCTTTTTCTGTAGATTACCCAACCCGAGCCCTCCATCACTTTTGGCTTTGGTAACAATATCCCACCTAACTCTATGATCCCTTTTTTCCTCCCCTGATTCCCATAGGAAGTCCCTCATTAATTTTTCCAAAACTTCGCACACTCCCACAGGGATTTTAAACACAGACAAGAAGTAAACTGGGAGATTAGACAATGTGGACTTAATCAGAGTTATCCTACCACCCAAAGATAGGTAGTTTTTCTCCCAAGACACTAACCTTTTTGTGAATCTATCAATCACCAGATTCCAAAAGCTCCTTTTGGTTGGATTATCCCCTAGTGGAAGCCACAAATACTTTAATGGCCATTGTGCTATCTCCCACCCCAAAAGTTGAGCCCTTTCTTCCACTTCTCTCAAACTCAAGAAAATTTCTATTCATAGATCTCAGATATGCTAATACTCTAGATGGTTTCTAAGCTTGGGAGGAGTATCCAGAACACAGTATTCAGTAAACATGATTTATTTTTTCTTCAAAAGTAAAAACTGATCCTTGAGTCACATATTGAATCCCACATTCATTTGGTTTTACAGATCGACTGATCCTTAAGTTGAATAGCTTGCCAAAGAAGGATGCAAGAAAAAACATCTCTTTTCATTCCCAATTTTGACAGGTTGAGTTTTTCTGTACTTTGTTCTTTCCCATTTTACTTTATGCCTGTAATTGTTTCACTAATACATTTTCACATTACTGGCTAAAACAGAAAATAAGAATAAACCAAATGTTGAAACTTGCAACCCAAAACAAAACCAGGAAGAAAAAGCCAAGGTACAATAAGTCAATAACCACATATATGGTCTCTACATGTGTATGATATGTGGCTTTACAGAAAGATGCATTATTCAAGATAACATTGATAAAAGAATGCATTATTCAAGATGGTTCTTATTTGGGAAATTGGGTTGGGTTGGGAATTTGTTGAATTTACAATGGGCCCAAACCATAAGCCAAGCCCAATGTAATTGAAATTCTTCATGTCAGATCCGACTTGCAGCCTTAGTTCTTAGTCAATTTCTACCAAAACCCTTAAAATATAATAAAACCTGGCACATTTGGAACCATCTAAGAATGTGCCCAATAGAATAGGACATAGTTTTTTATTGTTATAGGACATTAGAAGGTTTGATTTATTACTTTCTCTTTCTTAGGCCATATGCACTCAAAAATGAAAAAGTTCTTCTCCTTCCATAGTTTCCAGCTAGTAGTAAAGGGAGGTATTCATCATAGTTTCCAGCTAGTAGTAGTAAAGGGAAGTATAGAAAATCAACATATTCATGAGAAGAAAAGGAAGAAAGAAAAGAAATTTCAAAAAATATAGGGGCTGAACCCCTATTGTCTTATGTGTTGGTTAGACAAAAGTTTAAGTTTTTCCTTACTTATTGGTTCAGGTTTTGAAGTCTTGGAGGGTTCAATGCAGAATTTAGCAATGCATGTGTTGATTAAACCCTAACAAATAAGAAAATAATAAAAAAGAAATTAGTATATAAACACACAAAATGAATATTTAGTTTAATAATTATAAAATCAAAAAATTAAGAATATAAAAGTATTTTACAACACAATTTATGAAACTGCTTGGCAATTAGGCGAGGCGAGCCTCCAAGGGTGCCTTGTCGCCTAAAAAATAGTAAATTGATTCTGCCCCCCCCCCCAACATAGGATGCATCCACGTTCCAAAACTCAGCATCTTCCTTAATGACATTAGCTGAACACTCAACCTTCAGAATTTTACCTAAGTATGCACATAACAAAAACAATGCCATCTCTGTTGGAACCAAAATAATGCCATACAAAAGTGTGGAAGAAATTAGTTCTCCTTTCTGGCATCAAAGAAAAATTTCATCATAAAACCCCCTTTAGGACTTTGCAACCATTTTTTTTTGATGAATGAATAATTTATTAAATCAGAATATAAGGCAATACAGGAAACCCATGAAGAAGCACGAGCTGTTACCTCTTCTAACAAAGTATTAGATCACTTAAGAACCGGATAAATGATGGAGGCATGACGTGAGGCATTCCACTACCTAGAGGCGTGAGGTGTAGTTCAGAATGTAAGAGGCATAAGCCTCCCAAACACAAGGAGGTGCAAGCCTCCTTAAGAGGAGGGGGATAAGGAAGAAGGAGGATCTCATTTTTCTTTATTTTTAATAAAAACCTTTTATATTAAAAAGAAGGAGATGCATAGCACTAGTTGAAAGGGGGGTCTTTGCTCCCCAGCCAAGGGGTCCAGGGGCTGGCCCACTTTCTTTCCCCTTATCTTTTCTTCCCTTCCCTTTCCTTTCCTTTTTCTCTTTTTTCTTCTCTTTCTTTCTTTTTCTTTTCCTTCCCTTTCTTTCCCTTTCCTTTCCTCTAGCACGCCTCATGAAAAAAAGCGTATGTGTATGTCTCTTACACCTGAGGTGTACACTTCAGAGGAGTCAACGCCTCAGGGCGTTTTGGGGGAGCCTCGCCTGGATGTGTGCATCCAGGCATACGCCTCCCACGACTTTTAAAACACTGATCCTAGCATCTCCTTCCAAAATGCATTAGAGATCAGATAAATATAGGGTTCCAAGTCCCCAAGCTTCTAAAATCATTTAAACTTGCCAAATAAAGCTTCTTTATTTGCAGCAATGTGAAAAAAGTCTAGGGAAACCACAATATAAACTTATAAAGATGAATACTATAGCACCCCAAACAAATAATGCCCATTTTCCATCAAGTTTAATGGTAAATAATCCCTTAAAAACTTAACAAAGAAAATTCCCCCATAAATAGAAAGAAAAACAAATTTTATTTTACTCCATTTGCCAAACTTTTATTTTCCAGAATGTTTTTCTCTGTTCTTATATCTTTGCATCATTAACATGAACAAAGTGCATGCCACACATTGTGTTGTGCATGTGTAAGGGTGCACTTTTGTTGGGTTTAACAGAGAGAGAGAGAGAAGGGAAAATTTTTCATAAAAAGAGAAGTGAAAATACCATGCATGGATCTTTGGCAGAAACTTATTCTTCTTTCTTTGGTAATCCTTCTCATTCATATTAACCTGTTTATAAAATAAATGCATAAATCAATTCTTTTATGGGTCAATGTATAGTGTATGCAATGTATAAAATCAACTAAAGACTTGAAAAGAAAACAAGGAAAAATATCTGCAATGTGGACATAGGAGGAAACAATGAAAATAGAATCATAAGCAAGACAAAGACTTTGGCTAGGCTTTATGGCTTCATTATTGTCGTATAACCACAGGGAGGTTATAGTTTTACAGTGTCCCAAGGAACTCCCAGAACATTTCAGATTTCACTGTGACATGTGGCATTCATCTTTCTAAAACTAATTCAGAAGGCATTGCTAATATGTAACAAAGTGACCAATATTACATGATTTCAATTTTTGTTATCTTGATATTTGGACTGTAACATGGTTTAAAGAATCAAGATATCCAATTCTAAGTATCAACAAGAAATATTATAACAATACATTTCATGATCTCAATGTTTAGTTTCTTGCTTCAATCAATGTATTGTTTTTATGGAGTTTCCAAAAAACAAATGCTTTATCATTTTTGGATGATGATTCCTTTATTTGTGAAACAATTGTACTTGTGCATATTTTTACATCGTACAAACAGTATTCTAATATTTAAAATTATAAACTCCTAAAAAGACAAAAATAATATAATAACTTAAGATGCATTTTCATATCTTAAAAAAACACAACATCAAATAAAACTAAATAAAACAATATTTAGAACAAAAAAATAATATCTCTCTTCCAGTCTCCCAAAATGCTGAATATTCCACTCTTTTATTTTAGTTTTCAACTCTTTTAGCTTGTGGCAAAACTCCATACCCTCCTATTTAACCCTTAGATCACTCTTCCCACCACTCCTTAATTTTCTCTTTAAACCCTAGGTGGCATAACCACATGTTTTCAAATCTAAACGAAGTTGGACCCCTACCCCTTAAATCATCCTTTGACAAGGAAAATGGCCAATGATCAGAAGTTATCCTCGGCAGGTCCCTCAAGACCAAATCTTCCCAATGTTCCTCCCAGTCCACCATAAATAGAAATCTATCAAGTTTTGAACATAACAATGTAATCTGGAGGTTGGACCATGTAAAATTATTGCTCAAAAGAAGCAACTCCTTGAGTTCAAATGTATTGATAAACCGATTAAAGTTCCTCAGGGTATGGCCTCTCCTTATTAGTCTCTGCAGTAAACCTGATTACATTGAATTCCCCACCTATACACCATGACCCTTCCCATAGTCCTCTGATATCCTCCATCTCTTTTTTTTTTCTGATATCCTCCATCTCTTCCCACATCTTCTTTCTCTCCCTATATCCATTTGGGCCTTGGATGTTTGTCATTACCCATTCAAAACTATTAATCGCTTGCCGAAATTTCAAAGAAATTGTRAACTTCCCTACCAACTCTTCCATCCCTTGTACTATATCATTCTTCCAAAGAGTTGCTATTCCCCCTGAAGACCCCCAAGACAGAGCCATTGTCCAACTAATGTCCCTAAACTTCAAAACAATCCTAGCCCACTGTTAAAAGGCTGTTAATTCTCTAAGTATAGTACAATAGGGGTACTATTGTAATTTTCTCCTTTTATTTTTTATATCCTGTTGCCCTARTATATATACCAAAAAAGCTGGCGCTGCCAGCTGTACTTTTTGGCTCTCAGATCTCTCTTCTCTCTTCTTCTCTCTCTTCTCTCTTCTTCTCTCCTGCATAGCATGGTATCAGAGCGGGACTATCAGATCTGAAAGCAGAGCTCGAGTGAACAGTTTCTTTCGCACCAGATTTCCAGATCTGCTGCCCTCATCTACTGTTCGGCTTATTGAAGAACAAGGTTTCTCACGCACTGAAGTAACTTCTCTCCTCTTTTTTCTGGTCGTGTGCCACCTGTACTAGGTCTGCTGGTTGGATGTGAGGTGATCAGCACCTCTTTCTTTCCTTTTTTGTGGGGTCGACTGACCCCTGTATAAACTGTAGGTCATGAAGACCTTTTGTGTGTTGCAGTAGCAGTTTTTATGGTGCACTGAAGGTCAGAGAGTGACCTATACTTGCTGTAACAACATTTCTGTTGCTGCATAGGTCAAGAGATGACCTGTTAGTGCTGTGACAGCACCTGTGTTTGATAAAGTAGGTCAAGGGATGACCTGTTAGTGCTGTAGCAGCACCTGTGTTTTACAGAAAAGGGTTGTGCTTCCGAAGAAAAAAAGGGGCTTCCTTTCTCCCTTGGTGTTAGACCTTTTTTTTTAAGGTTTTGTGCCCACTTTAAGAGTTTTTGAATCTGTAATCATGAGTGGTGAAGATTCTGCTACATCCAGTGTTTCCTCAATGCAGAATGGAATGAGTGGGGGTGTGGACCTATCCTTTCCCATGGCTGTTATTCCTCTCAATGGATTAAATTATTTAGAGTGGTCAAGAGGGATCAAGCTGTACATCACTGCAAGGGGAAAGATAGGTTATATAAATAGGAGAACCAAAGAACCCAATTCTGGGAGTGCTGAATATGACAGATGGAACCAGGAAAACAGCATGGTCATGTCTTGGCTTTTAGTGTCTATGCAACCTCAAATAAGAAGGAATTTTATGTGGGATGAAACAATCACCAAGAGCCTAGTTCAGCAGGTTCCATGTAGCAATACAGCAAAGAGGATACAAGCAGTGTCAATCTGATCAAGCATTGTTTGTGAAAAGAGGGGAAGGGAAAATTGCAACACTGATAGTATATGTTGATGATATAGTTATCACTGGTGATTGGAAGGATGAAATTCAGAAATTGAAGAATTTTCTTGCTACCCAGTTTGAAGTGAAGGAATCYAAGTCCTTTAAGGTACTTCCTTGGGATTGAAGTGGCCCGCTCACAAAAGAGTATCTTCATTTCCCAAAGAAAGTATGTCCTAGATCTATTCCAGGATACAGGAAAATTGAGAGTGAAGCCAGTTGATTCTCCTATTGATCCTAACCACAAACTAGGTGATTGTCAAGGTGAACCCATCGAGGATGTGAAACAGTTCCAAAGACTTGTAGAAAGATTGTTATATCTTTCTATGGCTCGACCAGACATAGCTTATGTAGTGGGTGTTCTTAGCCAGTTCATGCATGCCCCTAAGATTACCCATCTTGAAGCAGTAGAAAGAGTTCTCAGATATCTTAAGAAAGTTCCCAGGTGCAGGCTTGTTGTTTCAAAAGCATGGATTTGAAAGTTGAAGTGTATACTGATGTAAATTGGGCAGGATCCCTGAATGACAGAAAGTCAACTAGTGGCTATTGTACCTTTATAGGAGGTAACCTAGTTACCTGGAGAAGCAAAAGGAAAAATGTGGTAGCTAGATCTAGTGCTGAAGTTGAGTATCGAGCAATGTCTCATGGAGTGGCTGAAAATATGTGGCTAAAAAAAATTGTTGAGTGAGTTGGGTTTTCCAGTTGACGGACCTATGACCCTATTCTATGATAACAAAGCAGCCATAAACATTGCTGCTAATCCAATGCTGCATGATAGAACTAAACACATCGAAGTCGACAAACACTTTATCAGGGAAAAGGTCATCACAGGAGAAATGTGTACTTATGTTAGCACTGAAGATCAACTTGCATACATCTTTACAAAAGGATTACACCACTCACGGCATCATGATTTATGTGACAAGTTGGGCATCTATGTCCCAACTTGAGGGGGAGTATTAAAAGGCTGTTAATTCTCTAAGTATAGTAGTGCAGGGGAACTATTGTAATTTTCTCCTTTTATTTTTTATATCCTATCGCCCTAGAATATATACCAAAAAAGCTGGCACCGCCAACCGTACTTTTTGGCTCTCAAATCTCTCTTCTCTCTTCCTCTCTTCCTCTCTTCTTCTCTCCTGCATAACACCCACCTATTATCAAACACTAACAATTTCAATTCTGGACTTGGGACTATATCTGGATCAACTTTCCTCAACAACTCCTTTATTAAGGCTTTCTTTCTCGCACTCCCTAAACCTCGAACAATCCAACTTACAATCTTCAGTTCTAATTGGTATCTTCTTTTCCCCCTGATTTCCACTCTCCTATTGGCTTCCTCTTCTCCCACTCTTCCTCTCACTAGAGCCTCTACCCCCCTCCACATCCAACTTTAATCTCTCAACTTCACTCAACCTTTTTTCTCTTCACCTTTCCTTCTTCCTTCTTATTAAGATAGGCTTTCAGTTCATTTGGATCCTTTATTTTGCACCCAAGCTTCCCAACAAATTCAGCCACAGAATCTTAGCTTCCCATTGCTTTTCTCCTTATCTTATAAAGATAAACCCTTCTACATTTTGTCTCATTTAGCAGCCCTAATTTGTCTTGTGGTTTTGGCTTCAGAAGATGACTCACAAATCATGAGACCTAGAAGGCCTACTCTCCTCTCTTGAAGGGGTGTCCATTGAACCACACCAAAATACCACCCGTTCTCGGTCATGCTTCCTCCCCCTCTCTAGGATTCCTTCTCAAACGCTGATTCTCCCTCCCTCTCTCACACACAAAATCAAGCCCAAATTCCTCCCCCCTCTCAATTAAATAATTTTAATGGATAAAATCCTTGAAGTTACATGAATAGCCTTTTCTTTAGATTTTAATAAAAAAATTAAGATTCACAATGGTCTGAGCTGTCACCCATAAACAATTTGCATGCTTGGATTGACAGTTTGTTGATAAATATTTGTGACCTAACAGTTTTAGGGATGGAAAGAAACAATTTTCCCACCAGGTTATGGGCTTAATCGCATACATTAACCAACAGTTTTAGGGCTGGAAAACCCCAATTTTCCCTCCAGGTGATGGACTGAACAATCTGACCGTCTAGGTTAACAATGGATTGAAAACACACTTTTTTGGAGCAAGTACCAAATATCAATCAACAATTGAGATTGAAAACATAATTACCAAATACACAACAGGCTTTGCTGTAAGCAACTGAAGAGTATTCATTATCTCAATATCTGCAGCTTTCCAGTCCCCTAGACGGATATCCTTTCCTTCCTCAAGCCATGCTTTAACCTATACGAGGATGCAGGATGTGATTCATGAGTACAAAGTTAAGAAACCACCAAAACTTTCTTAGCACACCATGAGCATAAATACAGGTCATGAACTTAAAGAGTCTCAAAAATATCAGTCTTGGAAATTATCAGCATGCTTTACAATTGCAGCATAAAATCAACAATAATGTTTCTGCAGTTGTAAATCTAATCTAGCTACTATATTTGAGTTGATAATGGAAGTAATGGTAAAATATATAACAAATGACACTGCATAGCATTTTCTTGTATTTTTTCTGAGATACTTGCCAAAGATTCTGCACTTATGTATGCCTTAATAAAGTTAAATATTGTTATTTAGCTATAGAAAATGTGTGCATAAAAGATACAAGCTGGTCAGTATAATGCAAAAAGAAAAAGAAACCACATGTCAAAACATGCACCAGGCAAAAGATTCCACTATTGATTCCTGAAGGGAAAAATAAAGATCCACTAAATTCCTTAAAAATAGTTTACTGAGAGCAAAAAGTAATTAAATTTCTCTTCTGCAAACTTTCTTTTGACATAACTGTTGTCCTCAAGAGTTCCCAGGTTCTTCTCCTTCCACAGACACCAAACATATGCATATAGGAGAAGAATGGACAAGATACATCTTCGTACTGAAATCATTGGATGGCCATACTGTTATGAATTCATGGATACTGAAGCAGTCACAAAAAGCACAATAAAACACCTCAAAAATGAGCAAACTCAACAGTTGAAGGGGAAATGAATAAAAGTTGTAACACTAATTCATCACATTCCAGAAATATACCTAGCTTATAAAAACTGTTCCACTTCCAAGAGTAAAATCTTTGATACCTCCAACCATATGGACCTTATGTATAATACTGGATATAAACATGCTTGTTATCTAGTATCTTAGACATTACCAACCTTCAAAAATAAAGAAATATCCTGCATTAAATGTGCTTTACCCCCCAGTAAGAACCTTGATACAAAAGATTGAACCAGTGTATGAGCATATTAATGCCCTTAAGACATAGTAGATAGATTCATGAACACATTTGAAGAAATATCCAATCTATGTGCAGAAATATATTTAGCTGGAACCAATGGCACAAACCCTCTGGCAGCACTCATGTTCTATCTTCAACTGTTTGTCATTGCTCCTTTTCATGCTTTTCTCAAGATCTTCTATCTTCCTCTCCATAAATTCGATATCCTACAGTTTAAGTCACACAAATCAGAAAACCAATTCAAAAAGATAGGAAAGATAAGAGAAGGGAAAGATGAGATAAAGAACAATATCAAATTTGACCAATAAAACAATTTTGCATGATTAAAATTACTAAAAGAAAAGACTTAACATTTCTAAAAAATTATTAGCATCAGAAATAATTTATTAATGACAACATTTTCGATGGGCCTAGAACTCTTGGCACCAACACAGAGGATTACGTACTTATGTAGATAAACCTATCATTCATGCTGCTAATAACCATTTTCATGTTGGTAACAAAACAAAAAAAAAAAATTATTGAGTATAAACAGACAAAAAAATGAGCACAAAACAAATTTTGTCATACTATAACCTCTAAATTCTAAATACGCCCAAGAAGAAAAAGAAGGAAAACACTTTGCATTCTGGGTATACAAAGCCCTAGTACAATTCTTCTCTAATTACCACTACTCTAAACAGGGATTCAGCTTGATCATAGATCATTGGCTGATCTCCTGATCCTGTGCAACCCATCTAGCTTCTAGAGATCTGGCTTCCATAATAATGTCGACACACCCAAGGATTTTCACCCACCTGCTCATTCAACATCCATCTGAGAATCCCCCTCCAGCCTCCACCTTTACTCCAGAGAAGCCAAAAGCATAGGCAAAGCAAAGTTCCTGAAAATTACAAAACAGCTTGGCTCCAATAGTGACTCCACCCTTCAAAGTTCCTGCAAAATAGATAACAGCTTGGCTCAAACAGTCATGCACCCCACCCCAACAATCTTGTAAACACCTGTAAAATATCCCCCTCATGACTCCTGAAAACTTTTCCACTACCTGTTGGGCCCAGATTGTGCATGGAGAACGAATTGAAGTTTATATTGATGGATCTGGGGAAGGGGGAGTCCAAGTCTGGACAGAAATACCTTTCAATGATTGATGAAATAGTCCATAAAACTTTCTCTAATGATAATTAAGTAGACCATAGATGCTGCTCAACAGCCCATCCCCTCACAATATTGTCTATAATGTTATGGAACTTCTACATGGTGCAGACCCAGCTCACCACTCTAATGGTGATCAGATCAATGAGAACACTTAGCTCTTTACATTATTCAAAATAGACCCTAGCATTCCATTTCTCCCAAATTGACCACAGAACCACTGCCTTAAAACACCTTCATATAATCTTACCCATATACTTAGAGGAGAGAACCAAATGGTCAAATAGTTCAGAAATGCCCTGCAGAAGAGCCCATCCAATTCTAGATTAAAAAAAAACACTTGTTCCCAAATCCCTAAAGCATAAGAATAGATGATTAATAGATGGTAGATTAACATTATCTCTGGGGAAAAAAAGCAAATATGGAGCACAGGTACCAAATCAATTATCTCTGTTAAAGCATGTTACAAGTGTTGTCGTTCATGTGTATCACCTCCGAACTGAATGGCTTCAGTAGGGTTGGACCTAACAGTCTTAAATAGATGGCTTAGTGACCCTTTGACAAAGGGTCACTACTAGCTAGTAGTTGTTGAGAAACCATGGAAATCCATTTTCCGTATCACTACAAAAATAGCTACACCTCCACAATATTCTTCCCCTCTTCTTTGTCCAACTACTAGCTAATGTTTTGAAAATAGTAATCGTATCATAAATCGTAAAGAAAGTTGAATCGAATCGAATCGTGAATCGTATTGTAAATCAAAGATTATCTTGACTTTTTACAAACTTGTCAAAAAATTAAATATAGATATATTAAAAGGTTAAATATGTATAGGAAAGTGACTTTACCCTATTTTTAAACTATATCTACCATGTATGTACTTAGAACAATAGAACTTACCACTTAAACAATAGAAGCCTAAGATGATATCATCAAGTTTGACTTGAAAATCAAACAAATCTACATACAATGGCCCTTTAACTTACATATGATAGAAAATAAAACTCAATTTCTAGTCTTGAATAATGCAAATAAATCATTTTCTAGTAAGGGCTTTAAAAAGTCTCCCACGGCAAAACTTAATATAAACAAAAAAAAAAAATCAAAGTAGAGAACTATTTCTTAATTGAAAAAATTTGAATTGTAGTGAATCGTATAAATCGTAAGATTTATAAGTCAAATTGTAAGATTCAAACAAAAAATCATAAGATTTTTGCAGAAAAGGATTCAGACATAAGATTCGAATTGGAACCCTTGGGATTCATGATTCAAATCACGAACCGTATCATAAACCGTAAGATTTCGACAATATTGCTACCAGCACAAAAGTTAAAAAGGCTTTGTATGTTTGATGGGGGAATCCACCTGCAACCAAACAGAGAAAGAAACCAAACCCAAATAAAAGAAACAAAGGGGTAGGATATTAATAAGTGGTAACAAGACTAACCATTGGCTTTACAAGAATTTGATTGCAAGTGTTAATTCTTTCCAAGATTTTCCCAGCAAAGTGTCCCAACCCTTGGTGGGACCAGTTTCCTCTAAACCATTTAAACAAGAAAAGAAAGCCTAGGACTAGAAGGTTGTGTTAGGGCTTTGAAGAAGGATATATAAGTAAAGGATCCGAAGGGGGAGAGGGTCCAAATCTGAGAGTTCACCTTAGAGGGATCCAAGAAAACCTTTTGAATTATTTGAATCAAATCCGAAACATTGTCCACATCTGATTCTCTAAGTCCTTCTCTAAACCCCAAGTCCCAATGAGGCTCAGGCCCCAACCCAAAAGAAGATAAGAAAGTGGAAGCATACTCACTTTTGTAGCTAGAAAGGGAATACAAAGAAGGGAATTGATCTTTAAGCAGTAAATCCCCCACCCACACATGTTCACAAAATCTTACTAGATTCCTAGAGCACAAGTTATACCTAACATAGGGTGGGAAAAATGGAAGGATGGCATGAATGTTCTTCTAAGGTGTTGCAGTAGTTGCTAGAGCCGAAACTCCGACATCCCAGCCATCAGCTGCCAGCCCAAGGATGCTCAAAAATCACTTTTGTCCACAGTTTAATCTTATCCACCAGTAATCTCCACAACCATTTTCCTAGCAGAGCCATATTCCTCTTTTAAATGATCCCAATCCAATGACACAGATATATGACACTTGGATCCACTTTTTTAACTTAGTTATCTACCATAATATGAAGAATATGCATAGTTACCTATTGCTTGAGCAAATACTTAGGTGGCATTTGATTACTCTAAAGTTTAATGTCTGAAATGGAAAAAAAACTATTTTTGAGGTCTAAAGTCTAAAATGTGGCAGATATGCTTCTCTGCTTTTCAAAGCCTCTCAAAATATAGGGGTGTTTGTGTTGGGGTGTTCTTCCAGCATCTAATAACTACCTATTTTACTATTTTGTGTTTTGCCCTTGGAAATAGGTTGTTGGGGTGTTCTTCTGCCTCCTTCAACATCTGGTAATTACTAGTTTTACTATTTTTTCCCTAGAAATAGGTTGTCGAGGTGTTCTTCTTTTGCCTCCTCCCTCCTCTGTTTCTTCTTCATTGAACCAGGACTTGTATCACCCAAGCTAATGAACAGCTTCGTCCTCCAGCAGAAAAAGGATAGCCCCGAAACATCGGTGGCCACTCACTCTGTCTCCTCCTCCTCCTTGCCCCCCCCCTTTTTTCTGTAGCCATCAACACAGAACAAGCAGCAGTAACTTCAACCTCCCTCCCTCCCCCCCTCATTTTCCTTCCTCTCCTTATTCTTCTCTCTCCATTCCTATCACTCTTCCTCGGCCTCCTTTGTTAATTTACAAAAATACAGCAGAGCCATCATTCCTCTTCAAACTCCAAACATCACAAATCGCGAAGGACCATCACCATTGATGCCAGCAGTGCTCATTGGAGAAGATGCAACACAAGCGATAATGGTGGAAGACGGTGTTCTCTTCTATCGTTCAATAGGAAAGAACTCGAATTAGGGCTCAAATTGGGTTTAAAAGAAGGGACAACATGGTCATTTCAAAAAATTTTAGGGGCATTTAGGACTTTGCCCAGGCTGTGAAACACATCTAATCACGTTAAGCGATCAGGCCATATCTTACCATTTCAGACCTATTTTATTTGATCAATGCTACAACCCAAACACAAATGGGTTGCAGGTCTGAAAAGCAAATTTTTCAGGTATTAAGACGTCTGAAAAGTGTAATCATATGCCACCTTAATTGACACGTATGTCTTATGTAATAACATTTGTCTCCCCATTTTTTGTAGGCAAGATAGCTGGCCCAAATCACAAACTTTCAAAAAAAAATGAAAACAGGTAAGCATATGTACAACCATATCATCTTGATAACTTGGCAAGATGCTAGAAAATTCAGGATAAAGGGGATTTGAGTTTAAAATGTCATTTAAGAAAATACACATGTACACCATTCTGTTTGCGTCCCACCAAGATTGTCCTGCTTTCCAAAACCCAAACAATTAGAAAAACTTAAACCACCTTTTGTCAGCAGTAGAAAGAGAAACAGCCAGACTAAAGCATAAATTGTTGATAAGAATTCTTACTTAATCACCATAACCGAAAAGATAAACCAATGTTTTTTGCGAGCAAAAAATAAAGCACCCAAATATACCTAAGGAGATGGAGCTATGATCACCATATACATGAATATGGCATTCCACCATCTGAATTTAAGAATAGATCAAGTATACCTTAACAAAAAAAGATCAAGTATACCTTCAGCCGCAATTCTTCACTTATAACCTCCAAATCTCTTACAGGATCAACAGAATCATCAACATGAATAATATCGGGATCTTCGAATGCTCCTGTAAAACATAATTTCCAGCTTGGAGTGTTAAAATAGAGATTGGCAATGCAAACAGCCAATATTAAATCATAGTTTTCAAGGCATCAAGGCGAGGCTAGGCGACTGGGGGGCGCCTTGTCACCTAGGCGATGGATTTTTTTATGTTTAAAACATAGATCCTAGGGTAGTTCCCTAGGTACCATAACCATATTTCTTTAATAATAATTCATGATTTTCATAAGAAGAGTATAAATTTCATATTAAGTATAGAAAATCAACATATTCATGAAAAGAAAAGGAAGAAGGAAAATAAAATTCAAAAAATATAGGGGCTGAACCCTTATTTTTATTATAGGAAAAGAAGAAAATAAAAAATATTGGTAGTAGTAGTAGTAGTAGTAGAAGAAGAAGAAGAAGAAGAAGAAGAATATATGGAAGAGGAAAATGTGCTGATTAGATAAAAGTTTAAGTTCTTCCTTACTTATTGGTTCAGGTTTTTAAGTCGAGGGTTCAATATATCATTTAGCAATGTTTGTGTTGATTAAACCCTAATAAATAAGAAAATAATCAAAAGAAATTAGTATACAAACACAAAATGATTATTTTAGTTTAATAATGTCTATTTTATAATTATAATCTCAAAAAAGAATGAATAAAAAAATATTTTATAGTAGGAAGTAGAAAACGGCTTGGCAATTAGGTGAGGCAAGCCTCAAAGGGCGCCTTGTCGCCTTGACAACTATGTATTAAATGGAAAAAGAGAATCACTAACTTTCACTAGGTTATTAATGTCTTCACAAGAAACCTTGAACCTTGAAACATTTAAAAATCGGTAAGTGTTCTTTGTATTATACATATCAATCTACTATAAATACAGTATGACACAGCTGGATATCAATACACCTACTGCACAAATCTCTTCGTATTCCACTAAAATCAAACAGAAACATATTGCTAATTTATTGTAAGTCCATAACTATAAAGATGCAAGTACAAGCCCTTGGTATTACCCCAAGAATAGCGTGAGGACAGCCCAAGCCCAATAATGGGTTGCATGTACAACATGAGCAAAAAAAAGGAAATGATGACAAAAGAAAGGCAAACAAACAAACAAATGAAAACAAAAGAAAAGGAAAGCAAATAAATAAAACAGTGAAAGGTAATACCTTCCCCCATTGTCTATGGGATTTGATGGGGGGAAAAGGATGTTTGTTTTTGGTTTTTCCTGGAAGGTGATATCTTATCATCTGTTTGTAATCTGTTCTTCTGTTCCCTTTTTTTATCAATTACAGGTAAGTTTCATTAAAAACAATAAGATTTGAGTAAAGAAAAAGGGGAGATAAGCTCTCTTAACTCTCCTACCAACAAGTCCAAAAAACAAAAATTGCAAGTGAGCCCAAAAAAAACTATTCACTCCTTGTTTAGCTAATCCATCAGCAAAGGAGTTGGCACTTCTTTTTACCCAATTCAATTTTACTTCAATATCCTTTGTCAGCCACTTAAAATTTCCTCTTTGCATTACTGTAGTTCCAGAAACCATTTATTTCATCATTCAACCAGCCCACCACGAACTTAAAATCTCCTTCAATGACCAGTTTTCCAATGTTCAACCCCTTAAAATCTCCTTCCAATGCCACCATTATCTCAGCCCGAAGAGAATAGCAACTACATTCCCTTCCTCGTTCCTTAGTACACCCCCAATCTCTTCTTCTCTTCTTTTTTTGATAAATCTTATCTTCTCTTCTTTCTTAATAAATTTCCTTTTTTACTTATTTTCAAAAAAAAAATCACACAGGGGTTGGCAATCTTGAAGTGTTTATGGAATTTTTGACAACACAAGTCTGAATATGCAGTTGGGGTCTGGGGAGGAGCAGGGAGAGGCTAATACTTTGTTTTACTAAATTGTGACAGAGGGAGCTGCTTTTCTTAGAAACAGATAGTTTTTAAAAGATATAGACTGAGATGCATTTTAAGTTAATACTGAGCAAGAAATGATAAGTTACAACTAATCATTAATATAGGAGCTATAAGCAACTTTTTCCACACAAGTAATACTTTATATGAACATGCAATTGGTATTTTTTTTTCCACACAAGTAATACTTTATTCATGCAATTGTTCTTTTGTAACAAAGGGACGGATCCACTTCTCTCTCCTTTTTAGTTGAGAGCACCATCATAACCCATGCTCCCAATTATATGGGATTGATGAAACAGGATTCATGTAGCCGACCCCATATAGTTGGGATAAGGCATGGATGATGATAAGCTCAACCAAAAATGGAGAGGCAAGGATCCATCCCTTTGTTACAAAAGAACAAAAGAAAACAAAGGCCAGTTTAGTCTTCTCTAAACCATCTCTCTAGTGCTAATCAAGGTTCAAAATTTTGATACATCCCAATACGGTGGAAGGCATGTATCAGGATTTTGAACATTACACTTATATATTTTCTTTAGTTTGTTGGTTTCAAAGTTTCACAGGAAAGGGAAATAATATAAAACAAACAGTTTTTAAAAATACCTTAAAATAAGCATATTAATGGTCCACTGATACAATATGTATCAGCCAATATGTAACAAAATTTTGAACCTTGGTTCTAATGATCATTTTTGAGTCTTCCCAACAGAGCCTTGGCCTTGGGAGAGAAGAGCCCTTTCATACAGTTTGTCCAATAAAATACAAAACAAGTAGATTGCATTCATGTTCCAGTACTACTAAAATACAAAATGAAGAATTTGTTCTCCCAAAGGAAAAACAGGAACTGCTAAGAGCCCTTTAATATGGCAATGGAGCTTACACTGAGCAAGAAATGATAAGTTATGAGTCTTATGACTATTCATTAGTTTAGGAACCATAAGCAACTTTTTTCCACACAAGAAATACTTTATATGAACATGCATTTGGTATCTTTACCTTCTTACCAAAAAAAAAAAAAAAAAAAAAAGCAAAACTTCATGCCAGGTATAAATAGACCTGTTCATGGGCCAAGCACAGGCTTGGCTTTTGCCAACCGACACAGTGTAAAGTCAGGCCCGAAGCCCGACCCATGAACAGGTCTAGGTATAATGAGGATAATATCTAAATGGACATAAAGTTCTGTGCATATGCTAAATAATACAACATGATAGGAAGGAGCACTAATTGAGTTACAAATTCTTTGTTTACCATCCCCATTAAGCTTTATAGTATAAGAAGAAATTTGCTGTCAGAAAATATACAAGATGAAGTAACAGATCAGAATAAATAATCTGCAAGGAATTCAAAGAAAACCAAAAAGATGAAAGAAAAGTAGCATACTTAGAACATGAAAGATTCCATCAACTGCACGAATGTGAGATAAGAAACTGTTCCCCAACCCTTGTCCTTGATGAGCACCTCGAACAAGACCGGCTATATCATGGATTTCCAAGAAAGCTGACACCTGTGCACTAGCACCATCTTTGATTATAAATATCTAATAGATGACATAAGTAGTAACCAAAAATATGAACATAATATCTAAATGCATAAAAATAAACTCAATTTCCTCTATAGCAACACTAGAAACATTTTAAATCAAAAACAAAATTGTGTTGAAAGATCAAGAGGGAAAACAAAGAAAAACAAAAAAAGAAAGAGTAATACTAATTCTAAACTCTTTTTACTCTATTCGACAGTGTGTATGCCCTCAGCTCCAACGATGTATTGTACATATCTTTGTTAAGAATAAAAGAGCATTCATTTCATGTGTCATCGGGTTGTTCTGCTAAACTCCCTTAATTCACATTAGTATTATGTATGAGACCACATAGTTATTAAAGTATGAACATAAATGTTCACAACTAGTGGATAGACTTGGGGAGTCTATCCTGACAAGGTTGTCATTCACACACTACCCAAGGTAGTGGAGCAATGGGACTCGGCTGCTCAGGTTGAAACCTAAGGTGTGAGAATCAATGTTTACAAGAAACATTGAACTGGACCAAACCCAGTGTGTTCCTAAACTTTGTGAGAGGTGGAACCATTGGGTGTTGATTTTAATTCCTAGACTTGATATTGATATCAGATTGAGTATCAAACATGTCTATCTTTGATACGCCAACCAATAAGATCCTTCTGGGGTCAAATGCAAGGATATGTTGGGGTATTCGATGATGGAAATGTCAACTGAAGATCAATGTGATAGGACCCGCTACTATGTTAAGATATAGAGAATAATTAGTACAGCTTCCTCTTTGGTTTCCTAAATCTGCCAACAGTAGGATTATCTAAATCCTCGATAAAGGATCCATTGGGGTTGGAAGTTGGACATCATGTCATAAAGACAAAGGGGGAAAAAGTACTTCCCCTAATGTGGTGTCAAATATTGTTAGTATTGTTAGTAGAGAGATTAATTGCAAGTGATAGATTGGGATGTATTGACTTGATTATCACATAATGAGTTGAACCAATAGACTTGGTGCTAGTATTTCAAAAGTGCAAGGCGCAATTTAGCTTGGGGTGCAAACCATTCCAAAGCAAGGTGCAAAAATACAAAAAATGGCAAAAAAAATTAAAAAATACCAAAAAATTAAAAAAAAAAAACAAAACAATCAAAAATGCAAAAAATATAAAATACTAATAATGATATAAATAAAAATATAAGCTTTAATTTCAAAATAAATATTTTAAAAAACCTATTGTCTAAAATTAAAATACATAAACATAACATGTAAAGCGCCTTCGAATGAAAATTTAAAAATAAAATTAAACATATAAAACATCTTCAAGCATGTAAAACCCACAGTTTCATTTTTTTCCTCAATTGCATAATTTCAAATAGCTAATGTGATGTAAAACATCTTGTATTCTTGATTGTACAAGTTGCCTTAGTACCAGGCCCCTCAAGGCAAGCCAAACAAATCCATGTTGGGGTCTTAAATTCTTAATCTTTTTTTGATAAATAATTTCTTTTATTAGAATAAGGATAAGAGCTAGTACAAACAACCCTTGCAAAGGTGCGAACTGCGACCCCTCCTATCAAACGAAAAATAGAATTCAAGCTACAATTGTGCCCAAAACAACAGTTCCCTAGCTGCCCCTTGCTTGGCTAGACAACCAGCCAAAGCATTTGCTGACCTCCCCACCCATTGTATTCTTATGCACATATTCCTTGTCAGAAACTTGAACTTCTTAACTTCATTTCTGAAGCACCACACTACTGATTTTCTGGGTCTTAAATTCTTAATCCTTACATAAAAAAAATGATTTTATAATCTTGATTGTCTTTTAAGAAGATATTTTATTAGGACGAATGAATGACCAACATTAGCAAATAGAGGGCTCAAGGAGTTTGGTCACGTCTGGGTTGAAGCACAAGGCGCACACCTTTTAAATCACTGCTTGGACCTTTAGGATGGTAAGGTCCCAAGTGTTTTAAGTGTTTAGACACTTAATGGACCTAGTTACTTAAGCCCATAACAGGTATGGTTGAATTGGCCTATTAGGCTAATTAAAAGATTAAAGTCCCACTAGCTTTTGTAAAGCATGTGACATGTTGGTTTTCTCATTAAGTTGTGGGTCCCACGCAATACAAACTACTATCTCAAAATTAGAAAATGTAATTTCCAGAATTTATAAGGTGCTAATGGTCAATTAAAAGTCTTGCATAAGAATCCTCAAGAGCAGAGCCAAGTATATTGGTGGGGGGTCCTTGGCCCCCCAAACTTTTTGTTGAACTAATATTTATATAGTTGCTAAGTAGAGGCAAGGGCAAAAATGCAATAAAGTGGGCCCTTGCCCCTAGGGGTTTAAACGGATCGAATTCGAATCGGATCAGGCAATATCCGAATTCGAATCCGATTAGAAAAACTGATATCCGAATTCGATTCGATATCCGACGGATATTGAAATTTAATATTTGAATTCGAATCCGATTAAATATTCAAATATTCGATTAGATTCAAATTCAAATAATTAATTATTTTAGACAATTAATAAATATATAAAATAAATGTTTTATTGATATGAAGTATATAAATTATTTATATAACTTAATTATTGTATAAATTATATAAAATATTTTATATACTATATATAAGAATTAAATAATCGATCAAATTCGGATATTTATCGAATCAAATCAGGTCATATCCGAATTTGAATCCAATTAACTATTCGATAAGAATAGGATATCCGAATTCGACCAATTAGATATTTGAATTATCCGAATCCGATTCGATTATGTCGACTATCGAGTTCAAAATCGGATTTTCAAATACCATTGACACCCCTACTCCCCCCCCCCCCCCAAAAAAAAAAAATGAACTAAAATGTTAAGGATCACTCTCTAATGCTCCTCCAACTCCCAAAATTAAAAAAAATTGTTTGTTTTTTCTTTAAAAAACTACAATAGACCCAAACCTTATCACCCCATTTCCCTACACACCCTACCTCTTTTGCTCCTTATCTTATTTTGTTGTTTAACTTGGCCCCTCCAAGAGAAAATACATGGCTCCGCCACTGAGAATCCAATTTAAATTATCAACTAGATAGTCTAGTGTGACTACAATTTGACTAGAAAGTCTATCTAGAAAGGTTCTAGTTTTTGGGCTGGATTAGGAGAGCAAGATTCTCTCCAACTTAATCCTAATTATGTTAGGAATCATAGATAAACAAGGAGAACTCTTGCAGCCCTCCATAGTCTATAAATATAGTACAATATGCGGAGATCGAACTAGGTTAGTTCTCTCCTACATTGCTGAATTTGACCTAGCCTTATGAGATCAATCTTGCTAGGGTTTTGAACCGCATTTGACTAGATCTATTAAGCCAACACATCTACCATTATTCCAAACTTATTTTGGGAGGAAATCATCACCCAAATTCATGACAAAGGCCAAACCTTGCTGCTGAAAATTCTAGAGAATATTCAAAGACTACCAAATCACAGTTGATCAAAGCTTGGGTGTGAACACCACTTCGATCTCTGCATTTGTGGGCATCAATATTAGGTACTACACTCATTCCTGATCCAAAGATTTGATCTTTCTTGGTTCAACAATCCCAAACAATCCAATGAGAAAAACTGGTTTTCTCACCATGTATGATTTCAGCATTAAGGTTTCTACAAATTTTTCAATTTCAACCTCTCTAATTGCCAGAATGTTTGCACATAATGATCACTAGATGATCATCTTCCATACTTTTCATCAAGAACTAGATTAGTTTTGATTTTCCCTCCCCTTTGTAATAAATAGAGGTCTCTAAAAAGAAAGATATAACCAAGAAAGCCAAGAGGAAGAAGAATAAAATTTATAAATGAAGAACATAATTCTCTTAGTTCTTGTTTTCTTTTCTAGGCTAGGGGCAACATGACTTTGGTTCCTAGACTCCACTCCCATAAAGAACAAAAGGCAGGCTTTGGATCTTAGAGCCTCCATATAAAATTTCCTTTCTCATACTCCTAGAAATCGCTGCTTTTGCACATATAAAAGATCAATTTGCTCCCTTTAGGTCAATTTTCAAACAATGTTAGCACATCTCCGAGGCAAAAAAATATAGAGGCTAAGGCACACCCTATGTCGTTACAGGATGCATTAAATTTGAGTACAAACTCCTTTGAGAAATTGGGTAACGACAATGTAGTAGTGGCTGCTTTCTTAAGGTTACTAAAGCTTTCTCTACTTGCTCAAACCACTTAAATGAATTCTTCTTCAAAAGTTGTTTTAATGGTGTTGATGTCATGCCATAACCTGGTATAAACCTCCAATGGTATTTGACTAAGCCTAGGAACCCTCAAAGGCTCCTAATTGAATTAAGCTAGGCCCAACTAACCATGCTGGTTATTTTTTCTAGTTTGGCCATCACTCTTCCCACTAAAATGATATGGCCTAAATAATGAAACTATGGTTGGCCAACAGTCTATTTGGTTGGTGCGACTAAGAAGAGAAAATGGGAATGTTCTCTTTAGATTCCCATTTTCATTCGTTYGTTTTGTGAGACGGAACGAGAAACAGTGAGACACGGTTTCCCAAAACTTGGAACGCGGGGTCACACTAAAACAGTGCGACCCTAGTGAGAAAGGAAACCACACACGAAAAAAGATCGTCGTCAGATCATTGTCAGTTCGCCGTCAGCACTGAAATGGTAACGGCGTCGTCAGATCGTCATCGACATCAAAGGTCCGATGGAGGTGCACTGAAACAGTCGCACTGAAATAGTAGTGGCGGCATCAAATCGTCGTCAACGACGTCAGAGGTCTGATGGAGGTGCACTCAAAATGATCGCTTGCCTCTAGTTCAAGTAGCAAACCAGAGGCAAGCGAAGAAAAAGATGAAGAACTAAAGGAAAAAAAAAAAAGAAAGAGGGAGAGGAGAAAAAAGAGGAGAGATATCTTGATTGATTGAAAAATCTCCTTGAGAAATCGTCTTCTTTCATGACCTTCATTGCTATTCTTGCCGAAGAAACCACCACTGCTGGTTTGGAACCGAGTTGTAGAGATATAAGCGGCGTAGCCTACGATGAAGAGATGAAATAGTTGTAAATTTCCCTTCTCATCAATCAAACATTGGAATGCCACAATGAGAAAATAAATTTTCCCTTCTCATCCCATCCTTTCCCATCCCATCCCTTCTCATCCCATCGCTTCTCAACAACCAAACGGACTGCAAGTGTACACTTTGTGAGCTTAGCTTACAACTGGTGGCACTTCGGTAGGTCTAGAGTAGTATTAACATGTTAAAGATAGTCTTCCCAACTAGTATTGTAGACCAACATATCATCAAAGAGGAGGGAAGAAAGTCTTAAGAAGACCAGAGTTGGGGAAAGGGGGAGAAATTTGGAATGAGGTAGGAAGAGTAGATATAAGTGTGCTTGTTGATAGGGAGGTGGAAGTTGGCAAGTCTTTGGGTCTTCTCTTCTTGGGAAGTGAGGCTTTTGCAAGAAGAGCTTTTGACGAGTACGAGAAGAGAAAAGAAGAGAGTCTTAAGAAGACCATAGTTGGGGAAGGGGGAGAAATTTGGAATGAGGAAGGTGGAAAAGAAGATTATTTTGATGAGGTCTGAGCTTGTTTGCTTAGATGTTGTCTCTGGGGGCAATCCGAGTTGCTGTTAAGAAGGATTTCTTGCTGTGTTTTCCGATGCCCCGGCTGCCCTTCTTGTTGTTCAGTTGAGTATACTTGTTTTGCATTTGTTGGCTGGTGCTATCTTAGCGCCTTCTTGGTTGTACTCAGTTTTCCTTTTTTTTTCTTTTTTGTATAAAAAAATCATAATCCTTTGGTCTAGATTTTTTTTCTCAAAAGGTAAAGTGTTATTCATTAAATCAAAAGAAAAGTTCCTCTGTACAATGAGATGCTGTACATATATATATAAGGGATCCCTGAAAAATGTCCACCTTCAAAGAAAAAGAAGAAATGCTTTTCATCTTTAAATGCATTATGTATAGCACTATAGCAACCAGCTTCTAATTCCCTCTACTACCATATTTATCACCACTGCTTCCAGTGTTGACTTCTGTTCAAAGGTTATATTGCTTCTCCATACCAAATGGCCCACACTATCACAAGAGGGATTGCTGACCAGAAATTCCCTTTACTAGACATACGCAGGACACTCCATTCTTGTAAAAATGCTTTAACTGAAAACGAGAAACACCATTGCAGATTTAATGAAACCAAACAGCAGTGTTAAACCTACAATGCATGAACAGATGACTAACTGATTCTTCCTCAGTATTACAAAGCACACATAACCTGTCTTAAACATTGAACAACTTCTTCAGTAACATTTCTTTAGTCAAACACTTGACCAAAGTTGCCACCCCTGTGAAGATTTTTTTTTATCAGAAACATAGATGATTTCATTAAAAAAGAGAAATCAGAGATAAAACAAGAAGTTGTGAAAAAAGGAAAAAAAAATAAAAACACAGCTTTAGAAAAGCTGACCCAACCCAAGAATTACAATTGAGCCCAATACAGGTGAATTCTTTGTACCCCTTGCTTATCTAGACAATCTGCCAGGCTGTTGGCAGTTCTCCTCACCCACTTAACTCAGATTGTCATGTCCCGTAAGAGTCATTTAAATCGCCTGAATTCATTTCTCAGATGCCACGTGACCCCCTCCCCCTTCTTCAGCCAGTTCACAACAGTTTTCAAGTCACCCTTGATTATCAGTCTATCAATACCCAAATCTTTAGCCTTCCCAACCCCATACACTGCAGCCAATAGTTCTGATCTTGCCACATCACCTTGTTCAGCAGGTCCCGAGTATAAAGCTATGATTTTTCTTTCCTCATCCCTAATGACCCTGTGAAGAATTTCACTTTTGAAGGGGCAGCAGTTCCTTAACTTCCTTAAATAAACAAACTGCCAAACTAGGAAATCGATCCCTWGGCTCTCCAACTAAGCCTTTTAGAGTTGATATTTTATTTTATGATCTGTACCCTTAAATATCTATAAGAAAAACAAGAGAAAAGAAAACTCTAAAGTGCTAAACATATCAAAGCACCAAGCTACCAACAACCAAACAGCGCAAGTGTTCTAAACCAGAAAGTTTGAACTGAAATCCATGAATTTCAATCTGAAGAAGTCGGTAAAGAATCTGGAGTGAGAAGTTCTTTAGATGTCTAAGAATCTGGAGAGGAACCAAGAATTAGAACTTAGAACACAAGGAACCTTACCTGGATAATCCAGATGTTTACACCTATCCAGAAGAGTATGAAATGATTTTTGGACAACTTGCAGAAAATGAAACTTCTCTGAGGATTAATCGTCTTGCTGTAAAATCTGTTGTTCAGAATCTTTCATCAATCTTTTTAACTTTGGAAGATGTGCAGAGAACAACAATGTCCTTTGGTGCAGTTCGCAAGGATGAGATTTCTACAAGTGAACAAGCAAAGAAGATCCCTTGCTCCCACCACTACCATGGAGACTGCACTATTCCATGGCTTAGTAATCAAAATACTTGCCGTGTTTGTATGTATGAATTACCTACAGATGAACTTATGGGTAGAGGATGATCCAAAGAGCTGGTCATCAACTGTCAGAGGATTCTTACATCAGAAACTATTTTAAAAATTTTCCCCAACACTAGGAAGTGCAGAATGTAGATATAGCTTCTGGAGAGAGTCCATTTCTATTTCATCAAGCAATAATGTCGTTGGTAATTTTTCGATCCTTTCTTAGTGAGAATGCATGTTCTAGATTGTAAGTCTAGGATCTTCTTATTAAATAAATGACCATGAGTTCTGCTCTGGATATATATGGTTTGCTTGTATTACTACCTATATCATTTCAAACCAAATGTAAATTTTGAAGATCTCCGTACATATGGTATTTGATTGCCATTGGTTTTATGGTTTCTTCTTCAAAAAAAGGGCTTTCTAATTGGTTCAGAGATGCTTGGTTTTTTTTCTTTTCATCTACCCTTTGATGAAGGCTGCTATGAACTTATCTAGGTAATCAGATTCTTCTTGCTTTTTTTTTCTTTGTTCTGGTTAGCTTGGTATGTTAATTTTCTTGTGCTATAGAATATATAAAAATGCCTCTCTTTTAGGCCTGGAAAGCCTGGTAGCCATGCCTGGGCCCGAGCCTGCAATTTAAGCCTGAAGTGTAATCCAGACAAGCTAAGAACCTTATTCCAGGTGTTAAGCTCAGCCCATGACCACCCCTACCTAGAACCTCTCAATACTAAAGTATCTCTCAACCTTATGGGTCCAAGATATAGCATCCTCACCTGAAAGGAAGGGAAACTTAGTTTAGTTAATCTTCCAATGGAACCTCCCAGTCATCTGGTGCTTCCCTAGYTGGATCCTTCAGTATCACTCTCCCTTCCACATTAGAAGAAGCCATTTGTCCACATCGAGTTATCAACTCTATCGCAGCAATAAGGCCTATATGGTCTCTCCCTTAAATCGCCAGTGTATGTGTGCACATCTACCATGATCTTGTCCACTCTATCTCCGTCGAAGCCAATCTAGTAATCATCATTAACACAAGGCTCTAATACCAAATTGATGGGATATGCCCACCATAGGAGTCTCTTTGAGGGGAACCATCTATTGAAACAGAGAAAGAGAGAGAAAGATAGAGTGATAGAGAGAGGGAAATTCGAACTTGTCTGCTTCCCAATTCAAACAACTAGCCTTATATAGGTTTTTACATTTCTAACTCATGCCATATATTTCATTTAACTAACTTGATGATGTGGTCTTCTGTTGTATACAAACCTTATGGGAGAAGATGGGCCTAAACCCTTGGGGGTTGTGGTTTAGGAAGCTGGTGAATTTGTGCAGGTCTACCTTCACCTTGTCCACTCTATCTTCAATCAAGGCCAATATAGTAAACATCATTAATGCATGACTCTAATACCAAATTGATGGGATATGCCCACCATAGGAGTCTCTTTGAGGGGAACCAACCTTTTGAAACAGAGAGAGAGAGAGAGGGAAATTCGAACTTGTCTGCCTCTCAATTCAAACAACTGGCCTTATATAGGCTCTTACAACATTAACTCATGCCATGTATTTTATTTAACTAACTTGATGGTGTGGTCTTCTGTTGAATACAAACATTATGGGAGGAGATGGACCTGAACCCTTGGGTTGTGTTATAGGAAGCTGGGTCCTACCAGAACCCTAACCCTACAATTTAAGTCAAAAAGTACCATGCGAAGATTCTCCTTCTCCTAATTGAATTAACAGATCCACATGGGTCCACTTATTGAATAAAATCAACCAAAACATTTGCCTCAACTCAACTAAGTCAATCCCAGCCATATGACAGCTACATGAATCTTGTTTCATATTCCCCTCTATCAAGGGACTAATTTCTTTTCCTAGAAATCCTATAGTTTACGTTGATAAGTACCATGTGTAGATTATCCTATCCCTTTAAATTTATCAATAACCAGTGAAAAGTGCTAGGTAGCATAGTTGATCTCCTTGCCATAAAGACAAACAAGTTTTCAAATATGCTAGTTACATGCCATATATTTCTTAACGTGTACATTAAAACAAATAAGCTTAACAAATAAAAGCAAGTTGAATTGTTCCAATTAACCTACTATCATGACAAATCAAATAGAACAAAGGAAATTTGGAAGTGGAACAAATGCCACAAGGCAAGAGATTGATATGCTCTGAGCTTAGAAATGAAATGTGACAAGTTCAGGCTGTTCAGCATTAAAACAAGCTTGAACTTAGATCCACCCCACACAACAAATTTATTTTTAAGGTCCAGACAGAAGCATTTCGGATTATGCAAACGAAGAACAATCAACAACATTCAATAACCAAAGGGAAGCAGTCCAAACCTCGCTTTTTGGCTTGTACAGTTGACATAGCCATTCAAAGCGCACGTCAGGGACATTAATTCGGGCTTCATTGGGCTCTATGGTACAAAAGGGGAAGTTTTCCGCAGGTATTGACAACTTCGTAAGTGTGTTAAAAAGAGTCGATTTGCCCACATTTGGCAATCCAACCTGCAAATCATAAAGAAATGGTAAAAAAGAACAGCTCTTCAAGTCTATTAACTTACAAACTCGACTAGCTCACTGAACTGACTCGAATAGAGCCGTTAAGAAACTGAAGAAGAAGAAAACTCCAGTAATGGCCCAAAATAATAATATCGCATATATCCTACATCCTCCCAGCATTTCGTGGAACATAAACCAAGACTAAAAATAAATGAGAAGAAAAACCAAATCTTGCATTTTCCATGGGCAAACCGAGAATTCGCCAATACTAAGGCTTTAAATGGAGTTACTGTGCAACTAAGATAATTAGACAAAATAATAATAATAAGCACTAAAACAAATTCAGTCCAAATACACCTATCAAAATCGGTTGTCATCATTATCAGAGTAAAATTCCCAAAGAATCTCCAAATGACAATTGAAGCTTACAATTCCAATCTTCAGGTGAGAAGAGAACCGGCCCAGGATCGGTCGTTCAGCTGGGGCATCCTTGGACTTAGCAGCCTTGGGAGGCATTGTTGCAGGAGAGATCAGGCAAAGGTTTTAGCGAGGTTTTGGGGTTCTGTGCTTCTTCTCAGTGTTACTTGGAGCTGGTTCTAGTGGGAAATTGACGAGAGACGTGAGACGAGTGAGTGATTGAATCCCATTTATAGCTAACCCTAATGGCGTTCGGCGTCAGCTTAACGCTGCCTTTCGGAAGTTGCTATATAGCCTCTAACTCGCTTGCGTAACTCGGCTAGTCTGATTTTGAAGGCGGGGTCATAGCAGCCCGGCCCCGACGAGGCCGGGCCGGAAGTTCTGGCCATGCTCCTAGGTTTTGTGATCAGGCCCGGCCCTGCCCGCATCAGGCTTGCAAATTTCTGGGTTGGGCCTAGGCCTGATACTTCAACACCGGCCCGGCCTATATATATTTTTATCCATATCTATATTATTACTAAAAGTGGAATTGAGACCTAAATTCTAGAATTTTTCTTAACTAAAATACCTTTATCTTTGAATTTGGTCCCTTTTATTATGAGGGCAAAATTTGTAATTTGAATTATTACTTTTAAGTTCATTACCTTTGCTCTCATTGAATCCTATATTTAATTAAGATATGAACGCATTATCTCTTATTAAATCATCTATTTAAGGTATATTAAATGAATGAACTTTGTGGACTTTTTATTGATTAAAATACTCCTACTTTTGAATTCGATATTCTTTAATTATGAGCATAAAAATGTAATTTAAACTATTACTTTTCACTTCATTCAATTCTCTCCATTAGTTAAGTCCTATATTTAATGTGTTAGATCTCGTTCTATCTTTTATTTGAGGTATTTTTTGTTTCGTACCAATTCTAAATTTATATCTATTAATTTTAATAGTACAAAACGAAAGCTATAACATTCACATGGGGTGAAATTGCTGATCAAAAAATTTCCAAAACTAAGCTTCAAGAAACCAAGAATGAAATAGGAGCATAGCAAAATCATATGGGAGAAAACTTGCTTTTCTCCTTAAGATTGATTTTGGGATTTGAATCAGATCAAATTAGATCGAAAACAACAAGAAAGTTTGAAATTTTACTTGATAGAAAGGTCTTCACAAGTACAAGAGCAGTTGTAAAGTTTTACGGCCAAGAAATTGATGATCTCCTCTCTCTAGTGGTTCAATCCAGTTGAAGATGGTGCAGCCTTTGATATTGAATGGCATGATCCTTTGAGAACACAACTGTGTTTGGTCACCCAAATAATATCAATTAATAGCAGATTTTTATTGCATAAGTCGACTCTCAAAATTCCCTTCTAGCCCCAATCAAATTGAGTATTGGTTGGTTTAAGTCAGACCATTAATTCAGTCTTATTTTGACTAGTCAAAACTGGTCATGTTTCTAGTCAAATTAGAAGCCTTTGCAACATAGTTTGAGCCGCTTCCAACAAGTCTTTAGTTTCTCAAAGGATAAGAGAGAAGACATTCTTGTGTGGCATGGGACCCATATGTCAATTGGATCCAACTATTATTCAACCCATTAACCTATGTTAAGTGAGTTAGGACCAATAGGGTGAATGCACTCTTATAAAAGAGTGAATCGCCAATTTAAGTTATGGGCTTGACCATTTCAGCCCGTTAGCATCTATTACCACCCTATGAGCTCAAGTCTAATGTTTCAAGTCCAACTATATGTCATTAGGGTTTCCACCCTAATAAGACATTTGTTTCATGATCTCTCCGCCATCAATTCCTAAAACCAAGATTCAAGGAGGGATTTATTCCCTCAATACATAGCCCAATGTCACACACTCTCGTCAATGAATTCCGGGAAAGATTTATTCTGCAAACACCTTTCAAAATAAKCTATTTAAATATATATTTTTGCAAAACAATTTTCAACAACTTTTTGAAATCTACTATCGATAGTTTTAGCTATCTATTGAAGAGAGTATATTCATAGATATTCTCCTTGTCTGACAAAGTGAACGATCCTATCATAATGATCACTTTTCCAAACACCCCATATAACTACTCTAACATATCTAGATGTTTACCCCTAAAGGATATAACTAATTAGCATATCAAAAGTTGTTTAGTTGGACATCTGGCTGAGTACCATTATCAAGTCATGGATCACAAGCAACAGTTCGGCCATTCCACCTATCCAAATGTCTAGGAATAATCTAAAGCTTGGTCTACTCCAGCGTTTTAGGTAAACTCACATTCCCACACATTAGGTCACAACCCTACTAAGTATCCAATGGTTGAGAATATTTAGAGTGCATACTGAATATGATGTCTCAAACACAACCCTCAAATGTAGTACATGGGTTAAATTAGCAGAAACATACCACATGGCCCATGAAATAATTACATGGGTTAAATGATTACAAACACTATTGGACCTAAGGGCATACATTGTCCAACACAAAAACTATGTGTTTAAAACCAATATGATAAATATCAAGTATTTTTTATTAATGATGGAAATGAATTAAATTAGTAGAAACATACCACATGGCCCATGAAATAATTACATGGGTTAAATAATTACAAACACTATTGGACCTAAGGGCATACATTGTCCAACACAAAAAACTGTGTGTTTAAAACCAATATGATAAATATCAAGTATTTTTTATTAATGATGAAAATGAAATTCAAAACTTAAAATTGACCAAGAGATGAAACCTTTTCATGTTCAAGTGGTGGTTTAATGCTTCAATGTTTTAGGTCAAATGGGTTAACTCATGACTTTATAATTAAATAATAAAAAATTTGAAAATGATAGAGACAAAATATTGTTTAGAAAAATACAAAATTCGTATTAATGATGAAAATGGAATAAAAAATAAACTAATTCAAAAACAAAACTACCTTCCCATATAAGTGGTTGTCAATTTTATGCATATGTATGCATGTTATTTTATGTTGTAGTATATATATATAAATATATATATATATATATATATATATATATATAAATGTTATAATATAATACTTATAATATATTGTATTTATTTATAGTACATAAAATAGATTTATATACATATTATATGCCATTTAATATAAAATGTTATATATGTAATATTTTATTTATAAAAGATGTAGGCCCATAATCAAGCTCAACCTAGGCCCAAGCTTATCTTTCAAGCCTAGTACTCAATAGTTAGGTCAAGCTTGGGCCTAGGCTATAGCCCTTATCGTATATGCAAAACCCAACCCGGGCCGGTCCCGTGATCATCCTTACCACCTTCTCTTTGGGTAGGGATAGGGTTGACCTCTTAGGCAACCCAACCCAACCCAACCCAACCTGAACCCAAATATATTGTTGCTATGCATATGTATTATAGTCCCACTGCATAATATCATACTATCATAATCCATGTTTAAGTCTTAATCCCTAGCCCTAATAAAAACTTATCATCAGAGATTTTCATCTATAATTTATGATTTATTATTTCTGATTTCATGATTTTAGAATTACAATATGATATCTATCATAATTCATAATAGACTCTAACCATTTGAAACATTCTTTTTTTTTTTTTAAATTTTCAACTAAAAGAAAAAATAAAAAGGCAAGTACCAATAAGAAATGTGGTCAATATATGGTAAGATGTTAAGTTACGGTCTCTTAATCAAATATTAAGAGAATTTGAGAGATTTTATGAGATTTTAAGAGGATGGGAGAAAGGTCTAGTTGGCCCAACCCAATATGAAGTCAACTTTCAAATTGAATTGGTTTGGGTTAGAGTTGACTAAGTCAGGTTGAAGGTTGGATTAGGGTTAGGGGTTTAGAACCTCAAGGTTGGACTAGGGGTGACCTCAACCTGACCTAACCCTATCCAACTTACACCCGTAAGTACAGGAGTAGGCTAGGTAATCAGGTGTAGGATTGGAAGAAATCTTCAATTGAAGCTTCCTATTTTTTGTCACTTTTGAGCTTTAACTTTCACATAGCTTTGGCTTTTAAAGAGAAACTTACTAAATCATAAAATATCTCTCTAGGGCTTACTTAATTGACCATCCACTAGATGGGAGTAAAAATATAGCTTCGACCCTAATGTACATTTAAACATATTTAATCACAATAAAATAAAAATGGAAATGTTGTTATTGCCTCCGGTAAAACATATGCAACCACTCCATTTGATCAATCTTGTTCTCTATTTGAAAATGGTGGATAAGTTGTTGCAAACAAAGTACCCGGATGCCATTCTTCTCTCTTCTTCTCCATTATGCTAAAGCCAAGTATATTTTTTTGGAGATATGGAAACCAAACATTATTTCTTTCCAAAAGCTCGTTATAAAGTACAAGGGGTACTTTTGGAATAATTAGCCCATGCCTAGAGGTGTAAACGGATCAAATCAGGCAATATCTGAATCCAAATCCGATATCAAATGAATATTGAAAATTAATATTTGAATTCAAATTCGTTTAAATATTCAAATATTCGATTTGATTCTTCTGCCAATTAATTATTTAATTATTATATATAAATTATATAAAACATTTAAATATTTTATGTATTATATATAAGAATTAAATAATCGATCGAATTCGGATATTTATCAAATCGAATCAGGTCATATCTGAATTCAAATCCAATTATTTAATTGGTATGAATAGGATATCCAAATTTGACCAATTACAATATTCAAATTATCCAAATTTGATTTGATTATGTCGAATATTGAATTTAAAATCGGATTTCGAATATTGTTAACACCCCTACCCATTTAGGTGGCCACATGACCATTTCTAGACAACATTACAAATCTATACTACTTTAAAAAAATATGAATAGCCTCAAGAATATTTCTGGATTTTTAGGACAAAATTTACCCCTCCATATTCAAATTTGTTGATAAAAAATGAGGGTAAATAGAGTAATTGGTCATTGACATTAAATGAATTGAAAAGAGATAATTTTAAGATATTCAATAAATTCAATTCCCTCGTATTAAATCCAACACTTTAGGTATTAACTTGCATTCACCTTATTTAATCATATTTAAGGCATTTTTATTTCTTCTCATCATTAAATTTTATTGATTAAATCCATACATAATAAATTAATAAGTTCAATAATATAAAAACTTATACTTTTAAAATCTATATGAAAAAAATTAATGTTTTCATATAGTTGGTGGTAAGAAATTAAGCCATTTTGGGTCAAATGGATCAATCCATGTAGTAGGGATTGCATCTTGAGGCAATATAGTAGGGCTTGCTGTTTTTTGTTATATAGTTTTGTCTAGATGATGAAAGAAAGGGTTAGCATCTGGCTCAAGTTTTTTCCCCTTTAGGTTATATTTGTTGGTTATATTTATGACGCAAATTTAATTTTATTGTTTGTTGCTAATGTTAATATTATTGTTGATTTTGGTTGTCTGTTATAATTTATGGATCAACAAAAAATAGTTTTCACATTCTTGATGGTCTTTATAAACAAGAGGAAAAGAAACTACTTGGTCTCTTCATCTTTTCTTTTATTGTTTTCTTATTGTCTGAAAACCAAGGCTTTAAGATGGCTTTGAAATAACAATGGAACAGGGACTGTTTGCTGATTGGAACAGACCCTGATAAAGATTATCTGTCTAAGTTGATTAGAATTAAGACCCTAATAAAGACCAGAAAAGTTGTGGATGTGTCTAATTGTCTATGTGATTACCCCCTCGGCACTATGGAACCAACGAGTAGGGCTTACCTAGTAAGAGATAGTGGTTGTGTTGGGTTATCCATCCATCTCTCAGAACTTTTTTAATTCTACTTCCCTTTCCATAGCAGCTTGTCATTCAAGATTCCAAACTGATATAAGAGGAAGTAAAAGAAAACATAAAACCATAAAGCACTCGTTTGAGTAGCTTTGAGAGATTGACCATTTTGATGGCATTATGTGCTGCACATTCATCTTTTGCCCTCCGCTCAGCAGAGGCCAACTCTTCTCGCAAAGCCTAGTAAATGGAAACACTCGTATGAATTTTCAGAGGTTCTAGATTGATTAACAAAATAAAAAGCTGCCAAGGCTCCAAATAGAACATCTTAGGCGTGCAAAGAAATTATCATCTCACTTGCATCATCCGTGTCTCAGTTAGTTTCCAGTTTCTCATGATGTACTCCATGCTTGCCTAGTAAAAAAATATAGAAGTACTGTTATTAAAGTCATAGAAAGCAAGCTCTATGCACAACAAAAGCTAAAATAATATAACTGGCAAATAAGAATTAGGAGAATAATTGATCTGACAAGTAAGAAGAATGTTGGCCTATTATTTTCCTTCAACTTTCAAGTCTAACATTATAGATGTTTTAGACTTGATAGAGAAAAAGTAGTTGACTGACTTCACATTGTTTCCAAAATTTCTTTAGTTTTGCAATGTTCATGCACACATGCAACTTTAATAAATTATTATATTTTTGTATCTTTTGAAGCGCTACACAATGGGGGGTAGCCCATCCCCCCAACCCAGATGCAGGTGGGATTCAATCCAAAGTCTCCACTAAGACCAATAGGAAAACTTACCAACCAGCTGGTTGGCACCTTGCAACTTTAATAAATTATTTCCACCTCACAGGATCTGATATTTACGACAAAAAATGAAGATTAAGCCCTTTCCTGTAAGCCCTGTTTAACCTCTTTAAAACCATCATTGATAAACCTTGTCTCAACTATTAGAATCTCTTAAATCTGGTCTTAACTCATTTTTTTTAAATATGTAAAGTAAAAGCTTTGTATTATACGGAATTATGGATCAAGTAAAAAGATCATATACATCAGCACCAATGTACATTGAAGTATTATACACTGGGGACATGCTAAGAGATCAGCTAGAGAATATATCATATCGTGAATTTCTATTTGCAAACAAGGATTTGAAGTCAAATAAGTGTATGGAACTTCCTAAATTCCCTGTGCACTGAAATCTAGATTTGTAGTGTTCCTTGTGCCTAGACCATTTCTTCTCCCTTTTTTGGTACCATACAAACCAGAAAACAGCAAACAACACCATTGACCATATAGCTTTACCTCTTTTCTTAGCCCTTAAGCTTCCATTGATTCAAAAAGACTTCTATAGAACCTAGTAAGCACCATACAATATGAAATTCCCAATTAACTCAGACAATATGAAAGAAGTAACTTAGCAATGGAGAAAGATGTAATTTCCAGTTTCCACATTGCTAGCACAGAGAATGCAATCAAAATTGTCCAGATCCATCCCTCTTGTGAAGAGTCTCTCTATGATTAGGCATTTACCAAGAGTTGCCAACCAAGCAAAGAAAGCTACTTTTGATGATATATATATATATATATATATATAGGCAGTGGACTCTAGAGCTTGGAAATGTACAAGGGGAAGAATAATTAAGCCTTCTAAAGAACGGTGTTTCTGTAAAAGAATCTTAACGTTTAAGTTTTAAGTTTTTGCCTTTTGGGTCTTGTTGGAATGCTCCAACCTGTTGTACTTTGCTTAATTTTATTTAATGATTAATGAAATTATTTGCTGATAAAAAAAAGAATCTTAAAGCAAGATCTTCTTATCCCTTTGCTATCCTGGATTGCAATATAAAGAGAGAGGTATATATCCATTACCCATTGTAAATAGGTATGGGAAGAGAGGAAGCAAACTAAGGAAATTGATGATCTAACATTTAAGTAAAATATGGCAGTAGATTTACAATTTGGGATTTTTCCGAGGATACAAGAAATTGGGACACCTGCATATGAAAATGCATCACAAAAGTTTGAGGACATTCACAAGAAAGTCACTCCCAAGTTTGGCATTGAAGACCATATATGTAGATTTCAGAAGGATGTTTTAGGTGGAACTCCACCTTTTAAGACATGACAGCAAAAGAAAGGTTTTAGAAATGATGTTGGTTCCACTTGTTTTATATCTCAAAATTTAAGGTGCAACAAGGAGTTGCAATTTTTCTAAAAATTGTCAAAACTCCATATATACTACTAATTCAAGCTGGAGCTCCTAAAAGCTTGACAGTAATGGTAGCAAAAAACGAGGAAAGCCCATGACAGTATGATTCACAACAATTGAAGGGCAAGGACGCTGTTACAAGATCTAAATAAAATAAGGAATGGCCAGTAGACTTTGTATTAGTGTTGCTTAGAAAATCAACAATTGAAGCAATAATTGCAATACCAATTCAAGTTTGTAGCTAATGGTGGGCATCTAAGTAAGAGATATGATACTCTTGATTAGCAACATTAGATGTCAGAGAAATAATTTATAGATTATCTGAGCTCATAGGAAAACCAATTGGTGATGGCTCAGTTGGTAAGTTCTCTAGCTGGTTGCAGTAGAGACTTGGATCAAATCCCATTATCACCAGGTTGGTGGGGGACCATGAAAAAAAAAGAAAGAAAGAAAGAAAAGAAAAGAAAAGAAAAAAGTTTTCAAGGGTAAACAAATAGAGAGTTAACAATGCCATCTTTGTGCTTASATGAGTAGATGGCAGTTGGAGCTAAACAAGAAATGCAAACTTCATGTGGTAATACAATGGAACCCCAAAAATAAAAAAGAAAAAAAACAACAAAGTCTAAGGGATTTAAAATATCATAAATTATAGAGAATTAACAAACTTGAATCAAAAGGTTCAAGTTTAAACAAGTAACAAGAATAAGAAAGGTTGATTTAACAGCGATACCTTGTCAAACAGAAAGAAAAGGACAATAGTGGATACACACTCATCCAAATGTGCAATATCAAGTACTTTGCCCAAAGATAAGCCATGCGATTACAAAATAAAAATTCAAAAAAAAAATTTCTAATCCAGAATTTTGCATACATTGAACCATATATTATAAAAAGATTCTTAACCAAAATATTTTTTGTCAAACAAGAATAGCAAAACATTTGAAAAAGGAATCAGAATGAAAAGTTATAAATTGCTCTTATAAAATTTAGTAATTTACATACAGTAATTTCCATGTATGGTGCTTATCCAGACAAACAATCCTCTAAAAGAAACTTGTTAAATCAAAGTAGAAGATATAAATTATTAATCTGGAATGAGGATATTTTTTATWGTTTAATAAGAACAAGTTACTAAAAAAACAAAAAACGAGGATCACTCACCCTTGTATCAAGACCTTCCAATCTGTTCCTCCAAATTTTGCCTCTATCACATACAAAGTAAAGCAAACAACTAAGAGCAGATGCCCAAGACAGTCTCTTCCTTTTATTCTATCTGTTAAAACATAGAATCCATCACCATACAGACAGATAACCCTTATACCATCCCATTTCTCTCTCTTATCTTCTCTATGAACCTTCTCTCTTTATTTATGTCTCTCTTTACTCTAAAGATTGAACTCTTTTAGACTCTTGAGTCTTGAAAGTGTTGGGATTGCTTAAAAATCTTTCTCCAAGAAAAGAGGGTTGTAGTCCCTCTTCCACTTTTTTCCCAATGGAGGATAATACTATACAAATGATTACGACAAAAAATTAATCAAATAAAAAAACTATTCATAAGATAATACCATTAGATGAGCCACTAGTTTCTACAACCACTAGTTTCTACAACCTACAAGAAAGAAAACCAATACACTATAAATTCACCTGTTAAAGTTGTTTTTAAGCACTCCCAAACTTGTTTTTAAAGTTGCCATGTCAGCAAAAAAAAAACAAAATATGTTCTCTAACATTGTTTTTGTATTCATAAGTGCAAACAAGATAGCTAGTTTTGTTTCCAAAAGCAAATGATGCTTTTGAAACCATCAACATTGGTTCCTAACATAAAAACAAATTTTCAATCTTTAAACACTTAAAAACAAAAAATATATACACAAATTAAGAACATGTTTCTATGATTTTAAGAGAATCAATCTATTTTCAAAGCAGATGGTTTTGATTTACTTTTGGAACTGGCAACAAGGAAAACAATTCATGTTGGATAATGCCCCCTTAGTCTAAAGGCATTTCCTTTATATCAAAAATAATATTAAATCTTTATTGTTTTACTTTTTTCAGCTTTACTAGAATTATTAACTTATCTATWCACAGGTAAGATTCAAATTGAAAGTGCATATATTTTTATTGGTGGGTCCACTGATGGAAGCATTCACTTCTGGGAAGAGGAAGATGAAGCCAAGGTGGTAAATATTTTCTCCTTTGATTTCTTTTTATAAAAGGGTGGATCTTTGTAAATCTAGAATTAATAAGTTTTCGGGGTTTTCTAGATGTTTATAGAATCAAATTTTATGGATACTAGATTGGAAATGTGGTCCCATGATCTGGTAATACAAGCAGAATGTTTTTTCCCATTAGCATATTAAAATGGTTTAAACTCCTGGGCCTTAGGTTCTATGATAGGACTTCTTGGCATTGCATCTGCAAATACAAACCTTTAGTCCCAATTTTCCCATATTTTCCCTATCAATTTAGTCAAGGCTAAATTTAACTAACTGAAAACCATTTAAAAATGGCATCCCATTTGAGCAAGTGTTACTCTAAGTTTTTAATGAGTGTAGTCTTAGCAACACTCTTATTGCATATTTTGGCATGGAACTAAGTTTTGAATTTACTCATTTTATTTTATATGGGATGTGATGTCTTCTTCATTTAATATTTAAAAAACTCTTCTATTTATGAATGTGTTTACATTCATTTGTTGTTAAATTGTTCCTTTTGCTCTGTTTGTTTGCAGAGTAAATCCACTAGTACAAATACATGGGAGTGCAAATTTTGGTTCACTTTTATTTTAGGGTTTACTTCCTCTGTGCAACAAACAACCAAAACAAAGTAAAACCTAAAAGAAAAGTAAACCAGAATTTGCTCTCAACTCATTTGCATTCCCTTTCACACCACTGCAAATGACCCAAACAAGTATTACTGTAGATGATACTTACTCTTTTATTTATGTGATTTTAGTCGTGTAATATCACATATAAAGACATTCACATGGTATATTGGGCAAAACCTAGCATAAGAACTAGTCTTTGATCAATTAAGCATTTTTTGATGAATTTTGATAAGCTAATCATCTTTCCAGACAGTTTTTCCTTTTCTATATTCTTACTCAAATTTATGCTAGTTTTGGGGCTCTAATTCCACTTTTTAGAATAGTGGGTCTAGTTGAGCCTAATGATGGATAATACCTAATGAAATGAGAAAAGCAGCTTCTTTCACCCACCCAATCACATCACAACTTTTCATGCTAACCCTCTTGTACTCGAACAAGCAAAAATATAAGTGTAAATGTATAATCATGATTTACTCTCATGATAGTTTGCAAGTTTTCAGTTACTATCATAATATAAACCAATAATTATTAGTTAATACTTTTCCTTTCTAAGGATTTTGTTAAGAAATATGACATATTACATCAATTTATATTCTTGTTACTAGCATATTATAAAACTTGATATCATTGATACTATTTAATCCATATTATGAAATGAGTTTTTTCTTCTACATCATAAAATGTTAATGACTTAAAGAATAAAGGATCAGCCAAAACCAATAATTGTTTGCCATCTTGGATTCTCATCTTTATTTTAATGATCAATGCAAAGCAGTCTATAAGTGTATTTTGTGGATCAAGGCAGAATTCTATGGTGAAAAGCTTTATTGTTAAATTTGATTAGCTAAGTTGGTATTTTATAAATAATATCAACCTTGTATGGTTTGTTAGTAAATTTCATGACAGTGCAGAGTGCAGACGTGGTATGATGCTTGTCTGCTTTGTCCATTAGTGTCAGATGTAATGGGTCCCAAATATTTGTAGTGGGTTGAAGTTAGTTGCTACTCTTTGCAAAGCCTACTAGAATTCAACATCTTTTTATTCTTATTATTAGAGATGTTTGCAAAATGCTCATGGGATTTGGATTCATTTTACCTTTTTTGTTACATATAAGGGATTCGTGAAAAACAAATCTCAAAGAGCAAAAAGCATATGTAATTTTAGTTCAATCACTTAGAATTCTACCTGGACAAGAACCATCAGCAATTGCAAATGAAAGATTTCTTATATGATCAACTACAACCCTGTAAGCCATATCAACCTTGTCTACGTCATCCGGGCCAACTTTCCCTAGTACGGTCGAGCCCCTGTCGCCTACAAATTGACAAAACAAGTTTACGGAGGATTAGTCTCATTAAACTTAGCATTGTTACAATAGTGCAATGCTATCAAAGTGTCAACTAGTAGTCAACTAGTCAATGGACTAGGTAGTTTAGCCAACTAACAAACCCCCATTGCTTAGGACAATTAAGAATCAACTAGGCATCTTATTAATTAGTCAACTAATGACTAGTTGACCTAAATACAATGGAAAGTATTTTCACAATCTAATACGAAAMAAATTTAGAGCTGCAAGGATCAGTCAAGCATTAACTAATTTGGTTATCCACAGCTTTGATACTAAGCTACTTCAGCCAACAGTCTTCTCTCTGCATCTGAGGTCAAATTCATTAGCCAATAACCCCCATTATGGTGCATTCATTAATGACAGTTCTAACTATATAAGATCTTCTGTAGAATTAAGCTTCATGGTACAAGCAACCTGATCGGTATGGCTTAATTTTCCAATGAACTTGTTTAGTATCTACTAATGAATGAGTGATGCACAGAGTTACAGCTTAAGGGGCCATTGCTTGGGCTGACAAGCATGAGAGCAGCTTCAAGTATGAGGAAAAAAAAAACAGAAGTCAAAGGTTAGGCCCATACCTGGTCCACTCCTTCCAAGACCTTGGAGAGCAGTGACCAACATCATAAAAGACCATTACCCATTGTTGGTTCCAGCTTTCTGGGGCCTTGGCCTTGGGAGATAACCGTGACTTCACACATACAGAAGAATGGAGGAAACAGATTTGCATATTAGCTGTAACAGATCTTTTTGTCAATTATGAGACCTTCTGTGATACATGGAACGATGAAGAATTGCTTAAATTCACTTATAAGAGTCCTCATTTTACCCAATTCGGTACCTCAGGATGCTTTTAACATGTAAAGCTCCCATCTATTCAATACTACTGGTTGTCTAAATTAAGCTCATCATTTTAGAGAAATAGATAGCTAGTAGATACGAGCAAAACATGCAATTTTTCATTTATTTTTTTCAGTAGTTTTACTTTTACAATTCATTTCATCATGTCTAAATTAGGAGTTCCCAATTGGCTACATGTCTCATCACATAAACAACCATTCTCACCTCAATTTCCATTTTCTTTCCCTTTCTTGTCGTTCTTTGCTTTCATCACCATTTTAAGGTGAATCAAGATTCTAGAATTTGAAATTTGGTTTCCACATTTTCAAAATTAAAGGTATTGTTCTACTTTACAAATAACTAAGCGTTTATAGCTCTAACCCAACCGATACCTTTCTGCAGCAATGTTTCAGCTTCTTAGATTAGATGAGTCTAAAATTTATACAAACCATGCAACAGGACTGTGAAACTTATTAAGCCTTGGCAAGTACCATGCTTAAATTCTGAACATTCCCTAGCATGTGCCTTTTGCAGAACTAAAAAGTTAACAAACAACAAAAGGAGATTCAATAATTAACCAACCTCTAATGTAGCCTTTGAGGCGTTGGTTCAAGGCTGTTGTGAATAGATTGAGTCAACCATTGACGTTGAAAGTCACCAATTGGTGTTGTTTGATAGAAATTTGAGACAAACTCCACCGGTCATGGATAGTAGAAAAGTGAGAGAGAGAGAGAGATTACCTATTCACATTGATGTCGTTGGGTCTTGTCTGGTGAGAGAKAGCAGCGGTAGTCATCCGCTAGAGAATATTATTTTTTAGCGGCAGCTAGGGGTGTCAATCCACCGGTTTTGGTTTGGATCTATTCCGATTCAAACCTTATCAAATGGGATTTGGACGGTTCATTATAATTATTCGATTAGCTCAGTCCAAAATAAATTTCTTCATATTCTTATTGATTTGAATTAGACCTAAACCAAATTCCCAATAATCTGATCATAAGACCAAACCCTTGTCCAATTTGAAATCAATCAAAATTGAAAACAACATAAAATTAYTTTTATGAAAGTACTTTTACAAAAACACTTACGAAATTCATAAAAGCACTTTTATAAAAGTAATTTTATGAAAAGTATTTTTACGAAAACACAGGGGTAAAAATACTTTTATGAAAGCATTTTTACAAAAKTACTTTTATGAAAGCACTTTTATAGAAGTAGTTTTATAAAATCACTTTTATGAAAGAACTTTTATAAAAGTATTTTTACAAAAGCACTTTTACAAAAGTATATTTACATAAAAGAACTTTTATGAAATCACTTTTAAAAAAAAATTATGGAAGTACTTTTACGAAAGCACTTTTGTAAAAACACTTCTACAAAAGTAATTTTACAAAAGTACTTTTACGAAAGCACTTTTACGAAATTACTTTTACAAAAGTACTTTTATAAAGCACTTTTGTAAAAACACTTCTATGAAAGTACTACAAAAATACTTTTATAAAAGTTTATGGAAGTACTTTTCGAAAAGTTTACAAAATACTTTCAAAAAAGTGCTTTTGTAAAAGCACTTTTATGAAAATATTTTTATCAAAGTACTTTTATAAAAGTGCTTTTTCAATGCTACAAGTGCTTTTATATAATTTTTGATATTTTATTCAGTTTGGATTGGATCCAATCCAATCCATTTACATTTAAAAGGATTATATTGGATTTGGACTGGATTGGGTCCAGTCCATTTATAAGTGGATTCACATCGGATTGGATCGAGTTGGACCAAATCTGTTCAATTGACACCTCTAGCGGCAGCCGACCTTTAGCCACCTTTTAAACTGCCGCTAATTCTCATTTTTTTCTGTAGTGAGCGTATGCCCTCATGTCCAATATTGTTTACAAATTGATTATTATTATGAATAAATAATAAATTAATTATTATTTCATGTGTCATGTGGTGTGTTTCTACTGATTAAACCTTTGCATTGCACTTTAAGATTATGTTTGAGACAACATATTCAAAATGTAGTCTAAGGGGATGTTTGACAATAAGGTTGGTTTTGTTTTTGAAAACAAAAACAAATGCCACATCAACAAAATTGTATTGTTTTTTCTTATGTAGCAGTTGTTTTTGTTTTCAAAAATAAAACCAACTATGTTGTCAAACACCCCCTAAATATTCTCAACCAATGGATAGACTTGGGTGGTTTAATCCTAACAAGGTTGACCCAACCTGCTCCATCACTTAAGTAATGCATGAAAGTCAACTTTGTCAAGATTAAACCACCCAAGTCTATCCATTGGTTGAAAACATTTAGGGGTGTTTGACAACATGGTTAGTTTTGTTTTTGAAAACAAAAGCAACTGCCACATAAGAAAAAACAATACAGTTTTGTTTATGTTGCATTTGCTTTTGTTTTCAAAAAAAAAAACAGCCATATTGTCGAGCATCCCCTTAGACTACATATTGAATATATTGTCTCAAACACAATCTTAAAGTGCAACGCAAAGGTTTAATTATTAGAAACACACCACATGACACAATGGGTTGTGAACCAAAGTGTGGGAATGGGTGATTGCTTGAAACATTAAATCGGACTAGGTTTCAAATTATTCATCACCTTTTGGATATTTGGATTAGCTGAACCATTGCTTGTGATCACCGACTTGATAATGGTACTTAGCTAGATAATTTGATATGCTAATTATTTGAGATATTTTTGGGGTCAAAATCTGGGTATCTAGAAGCAGTTTTGAGGGTCCAATCCAGTGCTTTCTGTAACTACCATAAGAGCCAAGGGCACTCCAAAGATTATTGTACCACATTGCGACTAGTTGTTTAGAATCTCATTGAGACAAGGGATCTACCAACCATGATGCCATGGTCAAGAAAGTTTRTTCTTGTAATTGATTTCAAAAAAGCAAAGAGAGAGAGAGAGAGAACAAAATAAAAAGTCTTTGAAACAGCTTGATCAATTAGAAATTGTCATCAATCAATTAGAATTGTAAATAATTTCTAGAACTATGGCTGGTATGATCCCTCTAAAGGGCTACGTAGGCAGCCTGAGCAGTGGTGTTTGGGCCCAACTTTGATAAAAAAAATAATAAAAATTTCGTTGTCAAATAAAGCATCAAGCTAATTATTGTGCTTCTTCAATCAGGTAAACTATTCACATGTCAACTGGTCCTTAAAGCCATCCCTTCCCACTTAAATCTTTTGAGTTTTGCCTACTCACTCCCCTTTTCCTTGATGATTCTTACAATGAAAAGATGACTCCTAGCAACATTGGTAGGCCTGTGATCCATCAAGAGTTTGAAGAGCTCTAACAGATGGTAAATGTTTTGAGGGATAGGGTTGACTGACTCATTTCACAAATTGGGGCAAACCTTCTTTCTCACACCTACCACTGCCACAATTTAATGTCCTTTCATTATCCACACCACATTCATACATAACACCCCCACTATCATACATGTCCCCATCCTCAATGCCTCTATTGTACAAGCTACCGTCTTAAACATTAGCATCTGCATCTACCTAGCCAATCCCACACACTTAGTTGYTTATGAAAGAAAGGAAGATTTCCATTCCATTGCCATGTTCTCTTTCCCAATTAGTGCTTATCTTCCTTGAAAAGGGTTACCTTCAGTTGTAGACTTGGAAGACACCATCAGGTCCTAAGTCTAAGTATTACGATGAGAATGTAATTTGCACTTACCATCAAGGACCAGGACATGATACTATGATTGTTGGCAATTGAAGTTCCTAATCCAGTTCCTTGTTAGTGATGGGAAATTAAATCCTAACTTGGGAATTCCAGATGTGGAGCCACCTTTGCAAAAGAAGCTTCTCCAATAGGACCTTTTGTTACTATTTTCTATTTTGTTTATTCTTTTTTGACCAGTTAATTGAACCATTGTAAAATTCCCTTTTTTAAACTAATGAAAGTGGTCGCTACTCTACTTTTTCTTATCCACGTGTAACTTTTCCTTTTTGTTTTAATACTTACTCGTCGTAGAGCAATAATTTATTTTAGGCTACATCGAAGCTAGAAGAGAAAGGGGGTTTGCCTCTTTCCAAGATTATTGTACAATGAATGCCAAGTTGGACCACAAACTTCCGATTAGTCCCAAGGGCATGCTTTGGCAAAATAGTTTTTTGTTAATCATGAACTCACATGTAGAAATATTCAATGTGAAGGGATAGTCCTATTTTGGCAAAATTGTCATCAATAATAGTTAACGTCTACTAAAACCACCCTTAGGGTAGTCACGAGCCCAAGTCTATCAAGACAAAATTCATCCTAAGTTAGAATAGAGCGAGGCATCATTAAAATCTAATACCCTACCAATCGATTAAAGAAAGGATTAGAGGCCATCCTTGTTTGTTTGACTCCCCAGTTGTCTCTATCACCTTTTTTTATTGCTTTTCAACAAAAAAAAAGAGACAAAAAATACCCCAAAGCCAATCCATCATGATCAAGCAAACATGTGCCATGCTCAACATGTATTCTTCTATATGTGTCATGCGATTGAGGATGAAATGAAGGGAGATCATCCTTGGCTGTTTGCTTTGCCTAATACATTTTATTCTAAAATATGTGAAGTATTTCCACTGGTAGCCCCTAAGCCTTTCACGTAGCCTTTTTCTCAATCAAACTTCAAACACCTTCATGTGGGTGGATATCAAAACTAGGAAAACCATAATTAAAATAGTGAATGGGAAGGAGGAAGTAATTAAGGAAACTTGAATAGGAATAAAAACAAGTTACGAGGGGATGGCTCACAGAAACTGGGGCAGTGATAGGTGGAGAGGATGAAAGAATTAATTAAAGAAGAATCAAAAGATGAAACAATTAGGAAAGATTGGGTGGGCAGCCAAGATGGCTCCATTAGTCTACCATCCATTGTAAGTGACACTTGCCTGTCAATTTCAATTTCCTTATCCCATATGCGTTCTGTCCTAATTAAAAGTTCTCCCCAATTAGTAAGAGAACATGACTCATATCAATGAAATACGTGGAGAGTATATTATATCAATGTGGCTACGAAGGGATTTATAAGAAAAGAAAATGAAAAGAAGAGAGAGAGAAATGAAAGTACATCTTTGAGTAGAAGTCCCAGTTATCAATTTAGGCAATTGATGCTCGAGAAGTCCTAAGCTACTTTCGTTCTATTCAATCATCCTCAATCCTTGAGAAATTGGCACTTGGTACTAGACAAATCTTGTTGGCTAGCAATGTATGGACTAAGTCAGAAAAGCTTATTAGAACCTTCAACGCCATGTTTGAATTTACCTACTCCATGAAAGTACTAGTTCCATTATCCACCCTACACTAGGGCAACCCCTTCCATCCAAGTGTCACTTCCATCAAGCATATACCCTCACTAATCTAAACTAGGGCAATCCTCTTTCCTTGAAATCACTTCGATTAACCACATTTGCTTTCCGGTGTATACTGGGGCAGAACCCCTGTTATTGAAGCACCACTTTCGTTAATCATATTCACCTTTTAATCCAAACTAGGGCAGACCCCCCATTATCAAAGTGTCATTTCCATCAGTTTGCCCATTTGACTTGGGGCAACCCCCTTTGACTTTAATGATTTTCAAAGTGGGCCCTTGATTAATGGTCTAACATTTTAAAAGTCTATCCTTGAAGTTCTCAAGATTTTATTGCCATATTCTAAAAGGATTTAACCACTCTTTTCACATCTAGATTCAATGTAGCATTAGTGGACTTAAACTACTCCTTCATATATTGGCATTGATGGAATCCTCAACTTTTATGCTCATATCTACT